TGCTGCCAGGCTCATCATTTTGGTCTTAAAATGTTCATATTAACCCGCTCTACATGATCCTGGTGTTTTTATTTCACTATTTTGTCCCTAAATCAAGATATGAACATTAATAGCAGACAAATGAGGCGCCTTCTTTCCCAGAAGTCAGTCCCTCTAGTGTTCGCAACAGGTTTGACTGACGGCGTTGCTAAATGTATTCATTATCTACTGCAGAACACTGTAGTTTTTGGTTGGCCCTGACACCAGCTCACTATACCCACATAGCACCCTCTTGTGTTTATTCAGACTGTTCAGATTCAGATTTCTAGTAATTGAAAATACCCAGTAATCCTTTGCCTTGACGCCTGTCTCTAACCGAGCTGAAATTATGCTGCCATTTAAACAAATCTAAAGAAAACATTCATTCTTAGATTAGAGTAGATTCCTAAATTGGTCAGTATTCAGTAAAAGTACAGATATGGGAGCAAAGAAATACTCAAGTAAAAGTAAGAGTATCTCATGTAAAAATCTTCAAAAGTAAAAGTATTAAAGTACCTGTTTAAAATGTACTTGAGTAATAAGTAAAAGTATTTTGCACAGATTTTGAGATCTAATAAAACTTCCAATATTGTGATTTTGATACAGATTTGTGTTGAATTTTGTTCAAAAGAATCAAATTAATCTATTGTTTGTTTTTCCTATGTGTTTTTATTTGTATATATTTATTTGCTCAAACTACAAACATGTTAAAAAAATAAATAAAAATCTGCCTTTTCAGCAGGTCTCGTGAAATTAAACAAAATACTTTTACTTTTCAAACCAGTTAAAAAATACAGATACCTGCTCTCAACTGTAGTGAAGTAAAAGTAAAAAGTATGTAAATTGTCTCTAACCGAACTTGAAACCTGTAACTTCTAACCTCATGAGCTTCATTTGCCTGGAGTTGAACGCTATGGGTGAACTTGGTCCACTTCTTTATGCAGTCTATGGAATTATTGTGCCCTCTAGAGTCTGTTAAAATTTCTAATAACTGAAAACACCCAATAATGTTTTCTTGTGTTTCCTGTGTCTCTCTCCTTCAGCTCAGGCGACTGCTGCGTTCCAGGCTCGCTTCTCGGACACGTTCCCCACTAAAGTCTGCCTGCAGCTGAAGATCCGCGAGGTGCGCCAGAAGATCATGCAAACGGCCACGCCCACCGAGCCTGGGGGGTCCGCCGAACCAAGCCCCGCCCCTCCCCACTGCCCCTCCTTCAATCAGTCCCACCGGGAGGACACAGGACCGGGGGAGCAGGGGGACGCGGAGGACGAACCCAAAAACGAAGGATCATAAGCCAGAGAGGATGACAACATACATCGATAAACACGGAGCAAGTGCAAGGCGTTATCCTCTCCAAAGAAAGTTGTGTGTTCATCCACTATTCACCAAGACCTGGGCATAGAAATATACACACTGAAATCTTAAGTAGTGCTCCAAAATGCCCTTGATTTGTCGCGTCTAACAATGAAGCCTCAAAAGCGGCGAGCTACAGTTAAAGTGGAGGAGAATGACAAGTCAAGCGCATGTCACGATTTCTTTTATTTTCAAATATCCAGATTCATTTCGGTGCGTACACACGGTGGCCCAGGTCTGCTCTCAGCACATTTGTACAGTAGTTTTGTCATCGGACACAAACTTGGTGGTACACTCTTAATATCTGGTGCGTAATATGTATTCTACAGCAGCATGATCCCACACACAACAGCGCACTCACACCAAATCAGACTTAACCAGACTGTTACTATTGGCGAGCAGTGTCCTGGAGGCTGCCGACCAAGCACCACCATAAAAACACAGGCACTTCGTCACTTCTAACGTGCAGATGCAGTTTGCTGTTTTGCCAGCTAGCCCTCAGATGCCATTGACTTTCAAAAAAAACCTCTTAGAACCCCTTTCCGACGCCCACTCCTCAGCAAAGTGGGTACGTAGGGGGCGCTAAACACAACCCCAATGACCTCCACTGATTTCACAGCCCCTTCAATGCTGCAAGACAGACAGCACACACCTCAATGTACCCCCCTCCCCCTCCCAAAAAGACAAAAAATAAACAAAAAAAAGAACTACGCACTCAACCCTGGTCTGACCAAGCCATCAACCTGCACAGAATTTGTGATTGTAGTGAGAAGAACTGAAAGCATGAAATCTCTGGCTCCTGAAAAGAAAAAAAAAAACGGTTGGAGTTGGGATTTAATGTGACCAATGTTTGCACCTTCTGATATTGCCATTTTGAAAAGTGGGTGGATTGGCGGGTGGTTATATATAGAGTATGTATGTTTGTATGAATGTTGTGTGTATAAAGGCTCTGCAAAGAGATTATGTGTCGAGAGATTACTGGTTTTGAGGCTTTTTGAAGAATCATTGTTTAGCTTGAAATGGACTGGGAAGAGGAGCACAGAGACGACGTAAGAAGAGGAGAAACTGAATGGACAATTTTCCAAAAGAATCAATAGACATTTGTACATCAGCTCAGCAGGAAATCCACCTCTGAATCTCAAAAGTGAATATACTGTTGCTTTCTTCTTGTAATCGTCGCCGTGGAAATAACCAGTTTAACCGTGGCCTGTTTCTCTCGTGGCTCTGTTGTGTTTTCTCTCCAGCATAAAATATCACTCTGACAAACGGGACGCATCAGTCTGGACACCCACTGTTCTAACGGCCGCTGGGGTCCCACTCGGGGGTCCCGCTCGGGGGTCCCACTCGGGGGTCCCACTCGCCCCTGTCCTCAGATCCACAGCAGACACACAGTGCGGGCGCAGGGGTGTTTGTCATTTTGTATAACGTTGAAATCAGGTGTTTGCACAATTTGTGTGGTCTCTCTCCGGAGGGACCACCGCAAGTTAAATCAGGAAAGTATTGTTTTTAGAGATTGTTTTAGTAGTAATAATAACCTTGTTCCATATGTTATCAACACCCCCTTTACCTAGACCCTCCCACGCCCCCTTTGTCCTTTCCTCATCCTCAAGTGTTGTTAGGAAGTGCCCTTAAGCACTGGTCCCGGGTCAAGCGCTATGTAGCTCAGGATGGTTGTGATAGGGTTAGTTCAGGGAAAGCCGATCCTAGACCAGCCCTAGAGGGCAGTCTTTGTGCCCTCCCCTCTTTCCTCTATTCTCGACACTTTATCCTTTCCCATCAAATGGTGCAATAGGACATTTATTTTATTTTTATGAAAAGGGGTGGGTTTATTTGTTTTCGGGGCTCTGTGCCATAGATCCATTGCAGTCAGTCAGTGGGAAGAATGAGATGTTCTTTAGCTATGGTATAAAATAAAAAGAATCACACCATTATTGTTGTTGTTGAAAAGATAGAGCATATATAACTTACTAAAAGTCAAAGACATCTTTTGAATAGCACTTTTCAGCTCTTTGCTTCTCAGTGAAGAGTGGGGTAGTTATTATTATGGGTATCTTTTGTTTCTCTGTATACAGTTGGATGTGTGACAAAAATATATATACTGGTATTTCCATATTTGTGCATTTAGGTCTGCATTTGGGTGTGTGTATGTTTTGGCACATGCAGGTCATTCTATACTGGGACAGTCCTTTTAAAGTTGGGCTTTGTATGAACCCTGTTTGTATCTATATCAACACAATTCAGGGGCTGGCCACTTCATATAAATGCTGTACTGCCCTCCAAAGACAGAAGACAGTAACTACATGTTCTATAATTAGCTTGTTAACCAGCACAATGACCATAAAAACTGAACAACTTTTAGTTGTTACATTTTGCTTAATAGGCCACTCCAAACTAGGGTCACCTCCATTAATTTACATTTGTAATGTTTTTTGAAGGTTCATACAGCTCAACTTAAAACATACTGTACTCAGTCTTTGATCACACAACACAACATTATAACAATATATGTTATCATTTTGCTAGATTATTCACTATAGACAGTATTTTTATAGTCACCACGACTATTTCCTTCATCGTTTTGACTGTTATTGACGATTCAGGATATGTTTGACTTCTAGATTCAGGATAAAATCACCCTTCACTGACACAGCAGTAACGTCTCATTTCTCTGGGTTCATGCACATTCACACACCCAGACAGACATGGTGCACTCAAACATGTGTATGCGTGTACACTGTATGATTGTACTTAAAAATAAACTGTCCTTATTTTGGAGAAGGAAAATTAGGATGTGAGAGATGAGTGTTATCTCATAAGCAGGCATGTTGACCATGTGCAATATTTCTAAACAACAAAAAACTAAATATTGAAAATATTAAAGTTCTAACACAATTCCACTTGTCTCTGGTTTATTTCACTGTGTGATATTGACTGTGTTTATACTGGTTTAAAAGTGCATTATCTACTTTTTCTGGTCAGGGTCTGCTCTCTTCTTGTCTCCATGAAGATGTAACTTCTTTGTTTATAATGTTCCGCAGTATAGTATAGCATTAAATATATCTTTTACATTCAGGTTTTCAGGCTACATTTGTTTGTATTGCAAAAAAAAAAAAAAGAGAGCGAAAAGATTTAAAAGATACTTTCTTTACTGTAAGGAGGCTCAACTCTCCACAGACCTGACCTGTAACCTGTCATGGTGACGTCATACTTGTTCCATAATACAGATATACTGTATTATTTTAATAAGTTTAATACCATGCTGTAGAACATTAGGCAAAGTAGTAAATATCACCACAGAGACAGACAAATGGACCTTCCACTAAGTAGTGCAGCTTTAAATTTCTTCTATTAAGGCTACAAATTTTTGAGCAGTATTATAAGTATGGTTAAATACAATTCTGAAATTGTTCAATTAGGCGTAACTGGATACAATAAACATTAACTTTAATTGACATTAAATAATAATTATGTTCTTTATTTATTGCTATGTTTCCATCGCTAATATAGACTGAACACTAATAACAAGTTTTCATTTTGTAGCTTTTTATTAAGATCATTGAAAAGCCTCAAAACTGAGTTAGAGTCATTTAGAACTCGATTTCCCATGCGCCATTGCGAGCGCACAGTTTCTGGGTGTCTAGCAACAGCTACCAGCCCAGACAACCGGCGGCCACGGGAGCGGTGTTTTTCAGTGCCTTTTAACGATATTCTACCGCCGGTTTGTCGTATTTTCGAGCATTTTAGCAGCAGCAGAAGGAGCGTCAGCCGTGATCCCTGCACAGAGATATGAGCGGCAGCGGGCGGGCGAGGACCAGCTCGTTTGCTGAGCCGCCTGGAGTCCCCGGCGCCGCCGCCGCTGCTGTGGGGAGCAGCTCAGGAAAGTCCGGGGTCCCACAGGCCTCCGGTGGCAGCTCAGCAGGATGCGCCAACCTCAAACTGTCCAGTGAGTATAACAGGCTCATACTCTTCTTTTATCCGCCCTAACTCCACCCGCGTGTCCCCAATGAAAGGCTGTTTTCTCATTTGCTCTGCTGTTAGCCCGATTCTGCCCGATTTGCATCACTAGCCACTTTCCATGAGAAAGTGTTTTGCGCATGCGTAACACGGTCCATCGTCTTGGATTTGAGATTTCTGTGAATTAAAATAAAATTTATGGCTCAGAGATTTCAGTAACAAGCTCTACAGTCGAGCTACGTGCAGTGTGATACGTACGAGCATGTGTGTGTTGACCTGAAGGTTGGGCGTGTGTCGTTAAATGCGATTTGTCAGGGGCATGACACTAATCGGGTAATTTGCTAACGTGCTAGCAAAGCAGCTCGCTAACTGTAGCTAGCTTACTTGTTTTGTATGTCAATGTTTCCTGTTTATCGGCTCGTTGGTTGTTTCATAGATGATGATCTAGATTTGAGGGGTTACATGTGTCAACATTTTCATAATCGCCTTGTTTAAATTTGAATTTTGAAACGTTTTCCCCGATCTTTGCGTTGGGTTGGTAATGAAAGCTGAGTGAAACGGGGTGCATTGGTGGGGCAAAATGCTGAAGCAAAAATAAGAAGTTATGCAAAATATTTTGAGTGTTTTAGGATTGTGATGTTTGTTGGAATTTTGTGTGTCTGGAAATGGACGAACTAGTTTTTCCACAAGGTCACCTGTGGGGCAGAGGCTTCCAGCTCAGAGGATGCAGGTGATGATGACTCTCCAACTGAGTTTCCTACATCTTTATCCCACATCCAAGTGCTCTGCTCACACTCCACACCACATGGCATCTTCTGAAACTTGTGAGGAACCCATGTTATCTGGCTCTGAGCACGTCAAATCAAAAGTTGGAAACACAGAATTGCACAATATACTTTATCAACTTCTCAAACAGTCACACCTACTTTACACAGTTTAAATACATAGACCATAAATGAACATAGCTGATCTGATAACAGTCAGGGTCCAAATAAGAAGTGAGCACAGACACGCTTCTGGCTCCATCAACTCTGGTTCCAGTTGACGTAACTCTGTGTTGCTGTGAGCCTCGTCATTTATGATCTTAAAATATTCATATTGACCCGCTCTGCATGATCCTAGTGTTTTTATTTTGCTATTTTTGCTATTTTTCTGTAAATAAATTCCTATTTCAGATATGGAACTGGCTCCAAATTTGCCCCTGTAACTGTAATTATCACATACTCCTTTGTCCACTTCTTTCTACAGTCTGTTATCTTCCCTAAATATTAGATTATGCATTAAACATTCACAAAATATATAAATTAGATTAAAAAAATAAGAGCTTTCCTGGTTTTAGACTAAGAATCTATGCCAGAATTTATAAGACCAGTTGAAAATACTATGACAAAAATAATTAAAATTTCATGTTGATGCTGAAAATATTTATCCATTCCTTCTCAGAATTGATACCGGTGGCCTTTTCTTCAGAATTGAACTCGAGCTGGGAATGTATAAAGTGCGCATGGTATCCTGATAGTTTCCATGTGCTATGTATGAATTTATGCAGACAATCTGTCATCACTGTCAGTGTAATAGGAGCCCCCTGTTCATCTAATGCTTCTCGTCCACTGGCAGACAGCAGCAGCAGCGTGACTCCAGTATCAGGTCATCTCCAGTTCAAAGCTCACTCGACCCTGTGATGATCCCTGCTACGTACAGCAGAGAAAGATGATGCATGGGACCCCTACTTAGCCCAGAAAAATGGATTTAGACAATTGAAATTACCTCATTTTATTTGACTTTTGACATAAAATATACACTATCACAGTAATTTGCTCACAGATTTAGTCAAAATCTTGATTAAACCCTGATCTAAACCTGGATTAGACCATGACTAAACTAGGACTAGAGCAGGACTACATTAGGACTAACCCAGGATCAAACTAAAATGTGTTTTAATCCCAGTTTAATACTGTAAATAATGTTAGGCCATATTCAGTGTTTAGGCGTCTGGTATTCATCGACAGTAGTGTGTTTGTTATTTAGAGTTTGTACATTACATTTCTCTGCTGTTCTGTTAACCCCAATTCTAGTGACAAGACAGGAAGGGCATCTGGCGTAAAACCCCACCAAAAGCTCATCAGGTCACTGTGACGTCATGGGTAAATTAAGCGATGGGTCAAATAAGGTGTTTGGCATTTGGTGCAACGTTGACATATTTCTTGTATTGTTCGTATATCCTCCATTTGTCATCCTGTCAGCCTCCTGAATGAGCTGGAAACTGTAAGTCTTAGTGTTTCTATAAGAAGGCTTTAGACGAGCCCAGACATGCCCCCACAACAGCGAGACTAGCAACTGTCTCTGAAATCTACAGTTTAGAAGAAGTGTGTTTTATTTGTTCATTGATTTTTTAATTTTTTTTTATAGGAGAACAAGAACAGTCACATTATAGGTTAAAATTTTCAGTCATTTCTAATCGTGAGCGAAACCTCTTGACAGTATAAGCTTGTGGTTTGGAGAAGGGTTCAGACTTTTAATGTGTGTTGTGTAATGTTTGGGGGTCTGTCACCTGCTTGTTTCTATGGAGATGTCATTGCTCTGCCTGGAATGTTCCACAGTGGGACATTAAACAGCTCTACCTTACATTTATTCAATTACATGTGTTTTTTAAGCTCTAAAATGCCTACAAGATCAGGCATTGTGACTGTGAGCGGAGTCGCCTCTCTAGAGATCTGACCTGTAACTTGGTCTGGTTTGGTCTCCATGAAGATGTAAAGGTTTAATGTCATACTGTGGAACATTTCAGACAAAGCAATAACATGTCTACGGATACGACATCAGAAAAACTTACACAATGAATACACCTTTAAAGGAATACATTTTATGTTAATTTATGTTCTGGAAATGAATATTGAAAGCCAACTTATTTTTAAATTAAATAAAATTGAAATTATTATATGTATTTGGACAGAAATCTTGTATTCTTCATCATTTTGCCTTGTCACGCAGCCCTAGTATTATAGTAGTGGAGTAGTAATAGTTGTTTTAGTCGTGGCGTTCGGGAGAGCATCCGGTCCAGTGTCACCTTCGTGGCGTTGACGTAGTTGCCTCCTCACCTCGTCAGACTCAGACGGAGATGCCGCTGATGTCTGGACTCAAATCTGCACCAATCAAACAACAAAGAGCCGCGTGAACAGATTAAACTCTGATAAAGGCAAAGCAAGTTTATCTGTAGTGCACAAGTCCGACATAAACTCATTCAAAAATACTTGACGGAATAAGAAATGCATTAAATTTGCAACACGAATAAAAACATACATACTCATAACACAATTTAATTTAAAAGAGTGAAAAGTGTAGAATATTAAGTCAGTCAGATGAAGAGGTTCAGCGTTTGGTTTCCCTGTTGTTCAGAACAGAGAAGAGAATATGTTGTAATTGAGTAGTAAGGAGTTTGTTTGGCTTAATTTTCCTTTCAATTCTTGATCGATTACTTGTTTTGCAAGGTGTGTTGTTATTGACATTTTGCAGTGACATCACACTCAGGGGGTTCTACATGTATGTGTATGGCCGAATGTTCAGCAGTTGCCATAGTGACAAAAACGCTCGCATTTGCAATCACTGTCAAAAAAAAAAGTTTTAACGTTCTTGAGTTTTAATTCAGAAACGCAAAATGAATTTAAACAAAACATTTTCAGGAGCCTGTGATCAGAAATATTCTCTGTGGTTCTGTTTAGGTGTTTTTGAGTGATTTAGAGAGACGTGTTTATCAGTAAAAAAAATATCTCACCTGTTGTGGTTCCAACAAAATCAGTTCTTTCTGGTCAGATTGTGTTAAAATAAAGCTCAGATTAAAGACTGACAAAGACTCGTACAGAGCAGTGCCTACAGTTAACATTATGTGAAGTATCAATATACAGAAAGGTAAACGTGTTATTTTAACAAGCGACATTTTATTGCCGTAAAATAAGAGATTACATTGAAAATTTGGGTTGAAGGCTTCAAACTGATCTTTTTGTTTAAAAAAAAAATTGCCTGCCTTTTTATTTTCCCCACGTATTTGAGCAAAATGTCCCTCAATCCAGTACAAATATATTGTATAAGCAGCTCTTGAGGTCAAAATAAGGCACTGTAGTGAATAATTTGGATACTTAGAATTTATAAGGTAAGTGAAGAATAACTTGGACTTCTGTAAATGTTTTAAAATTAACTACTTTTGTTTTTTTTGTTTTTTTTACTAAAATGTAACTAAATGGTGTGGAAAATACAGGAGCTTTTGTTGAACTGGTGCGCCAGTTGTATCGGTGTGTCCCTCGGGCTCATGTGTTGTGGGTTTATGAGCGAGTTTACGGTTGACCATGTGGGATGTCCCGTGGAGGTGACCCATTCTTTATTGTCTGAGATTCTGACTCACGAGTGCAGTCCACCCCTCCTCATAAAGGATGGAACAAGTCTGACGCTGTATCATGGTTAGGAGCACTTTATTTTTCCTGTTCGTCAGTGTTGGTTGAGTCAAACACAGGAAATGGAGCAAATAAAAGAGGATTCCGAATGGGAAAATATCAGGCCTAGGCTTGAGGACCTGTTTATTTTTCACACCAAGGAAAAGGCTTGATACTTTTATAAGAATTTCAATTAAAAACACAAAAGGGTTCTTTAAAATGTTATATGTTCTTTGGCTACAGATCAGACCAAAGAAGTCCATTCTAAAACTGTCCAGGAAAGGTCCAACTTTGTCTTTGGGGGTGTGATGCCAACTGTAGGCACTGCTCTGTCTGTAGCTCTGTTACTCAAGTCAGACTTTATAATATGAGCTTTGTTTTCACACAATCCACCCAAAACAAAGTGAACTGCAACAGGTGATCTGATTTTGTACAGGCAAACAAGTTTCTCTCAAGACAATTAGTCACAATCTCACAAGCTAGGATTAGTCAAAAGGTTTTCAGTTAGTCACACTCATCTTTTTGTTGAAAATCAAACAGGACCATGAATCTAATTAATGTATTTATCTAATCTATCTATTTATCTAATTGATCTATGTCTCTAATCTATTTATCACATTTTTATCTAATATATTTATCTGATCTATGTCTCTAATCAATTTATCTAATTTATCTACAGCATGGAAGTTAAAGTCAAATTTACAGAGGGCCAAAATTTTAAAATTGTGACTAAGTCATGGGCCGAAGTAAATATTTATTGAAAAATGTCAAAAACATCTGCATGTTTTCTCTTCTTTCGAGATATGTAATGTTAAAATTTTCTTATTAAAAAAAAGTTTAGTAATAGTTTTCTTAAACATTGAATCCAGAGCAAGCAGAATATAAAAATAATAACCAAATTTAAAATGGATAATGCTTGTATAATCTATCTGTAGCTGGCGGTCAGCTCTAATACATATTTTATATGATCTCGTGGGCCAAATGTGGCCCCTGGACCTGGGTTTGACATGTCTGATCTACAGTATCTATCTAATCTATTCTATCACAGGCTCCTGAAAATGTGCTGTTTAAATCAATTTAATATTTTTTTTCTTGATTTGTAATAATCTTATTTTTTGCCTCTCTTTGCAAATATATGCATTGTTTCACCAAGGTAACTACTGAACATTCAGCCATAGAAATACATGCAGAAAACCCCCAGCATGATATCATTGCAATGTATCAATGTTACGTCATTCATTTCTTAGGAACTGTCTACCTGGTCAATTGAATCTAGGTTTGAAATTATTTTTTTGTATAATATAATATGTGTGTTTGTGTCTGGGTGGGAGCGTGTTTTGCTAAAGCGTAAATTGATTTAAACCTTTTTCCATGTTCGAGGTGTCTGTCTGGGCACTATTTAAAAGCTGCTGCAACAGATGCAAAACATGCATCATTTACTCTCCCATTCATTCACAAGGAGCGCGATTAGACTCACAGATTTACACAGTATGCAGATGTGTGTTTGTGTTTGGACAGGAAATACATATGAAAGATCTGTAGACATCACAGGGTCAGTCTGGCCTAAGAACGGAACCAACCACCTCTTTGTTTTGATGATAATGGCCTTGGGGTTTGCATATGACACGTTTCCTGACTCAACCATCAATTCCCAATGCCAAGAATTTGCTGCATGTCTCTCCTAACTCTTCACCCACTTCACGCCATTACAGTACTGTTATCATTAAAGACAGACCGACATATCCTTTGGTTGATATATTGGACCAATATTTGCACTTTTTATCTAATCTGTTATTGGCCATAAATCACCCGCAGAGGCTGATCTTTTGTTTTGCCCAACCAGCAGGCTAAAAATGCATGTAAATTGTATGTGTAAAGCTTTGTTTGAACAGTTTAGTCCAAAGAGAGTACTACAGAAATATAAATACACTAGACTCTTCACAGTTTATAGTAAAACAATGTTGTGGATAAGTTTGTATGAAATGTGAATTAAACAATTTGGGGAATTTACACACACATCGGGTCAAAAATATCTCTGGATTCTAAACAACTGGAATATGAATCTGCATTGGCCATGAAAAAAATACACTAAAATTTCAAACTCAGATGTGATAAGGTTTGATATAACACAATTTTGATCCCACAACTATTAATTTTTCTTTTTTTTAATGTATGCAATAGAATGTAATTTTCAGCACAAGTGTTGCTTTTGATAAAAGTACCATGTGGCCTCATGCCGGTTCTGAAAAAGTGTTCTATTTTGGGCTCCTCTCCAGTCTAATTAGCCTCTGCCTCCTACATGAACTGCCCCGTGTCTCTGAGGCTCTTTGACGCCGGCTGCAGTGTGAAGCATTAACCTAAATATCCACACAGCTAGAACAGGACTAGTACAGAGACGGAGCAGGGTCAGGTTTAGGCCGACTCTGTTTCACTAATGGCACTTTTTCCAAACATTAACCCGGCCCAAGGCCTGTAAGTGTGTGGTGTAAAGTCTAGACCAGAAAATCACTCGGTATCCTGTGACTTTAAAGGAGCATTGTGTCACTTTTCTCACTGAGGGTCGAGTCAGATGCTTTTCTCCATATATGTAGATGTTATTGCTTTGTCTGGAATGTTTCACAGTATGGTATTAAACATTTCAATCTTCATGGAGACCAAAGCAGACCAAGTTACAGGTCACATCTGTGGAGAGGCGACCCTGCTCAGTCAGAATGCCTGTTTTTCTAGGTATTTTTGCGCTATAAAACCACCTGTAATTGAATAAATGTAAGATAGAGCTGCTTAATGTCACACTGTGGAACATTCCAGGCAGAGCAGTGACATATCCAGAGAAACAAGAAGGCGACATTCCCCCAACCAAAAAGTTACATAATGCACCTTTTAAAACTAAAAATATTTGCTTGAGGTTGTAGATTAAAGTATTTGTCATTTTCATGTTACTTAAAAATTTTATTTCACACAGCCACCATGATTCAGTGCTCAGCAAAATAGAAAAATTCTGTATTTTCTCCATATAAGCAAAACTGTATTAAGTAAGTTTCAAAAGTCCAAAGATTTAAGTCCAGACATTTCTGTTGGAACCATGTTGATGGTGATTATCACACTTTTATTCAAAACACTACAGCAAGATCTTGGATACAGTATTCAGAGGAATGCACTGATCCAGCTTTTTCAGTTTGATACAGATTCTGATACTATGATACTTAGTATCTGCTGATATATGATACCAACACATACCAGTGCAGAGATTAAAAACTGCATTTATTTCCCTAAAACAAAAATAAATAAGACAAAATGGATCTAAACTACGTTGATAATGAATTGCCATAATCCCAAATGTCCTTTTTAACTGTGTTTTCCTGCTTTGTGTTTCAGGAGACAGCGGCAAAGTGACGACAGTTGTGGCCACTCCGGGACAGGGCCCAGACCGCCCACAGGAAGTGTCCTACACCGACATCAAGGTGAGAACGGCGCTATGGCAACCAGGGGGGTATTTACAACGGCAACAACGGCATCTGCCCAGTCACTGGAGCGTGTGGTGACTGGATATTGTCATGTGTTGATGGCCGTAACCAAGGGCTGGTTTTAAAGATACAAATACACAATTTTTTATACGGTATTGACTTTAAAGTTACTACATACTCAAAATAAAAAATACAAGGATTTTTTTTTTTTTACATATTGCCAACTACACACATACCATAATAACAATTACAGTCATGACTAATAAGACAAAAATGTTTCCATCGATGAATCATACAGAGATAGCAAGAGATCTCTAAACACAAAGTAGTAAATGTTTTTCTTCCTGAACATTACAGGTGATCGGGAATGGCTCCTTTGGCGTCGTGTACCAGGCTCGACTCATCGACAGCCAGGAGATGGTCGCAATTAAGAAGGTTTTACAGGACAAAAGGTTTAAGGTAATCCAATACTTCAGTCGTCGATTTATTCATGACACTTTTTATAGTTTATTAAATATTTATAATTCTGTGTTTTAGTAATGATATGGATAAAGACCAGTCAAAAAGCATACAGAAAATGTTCAACTTTGTTCATTATGTGTGTTTTTTGATGCCTATTAAAATTTATATCTAGTTTCAATACTAGTATCAGTGAGACGGCATATTCCCTCATTTGTCAGGAGCGATTTAGAGTTTCAACAGTGGTCAGATCGGATGTTTTGGCTTCCATCCACAAGCCGTTTTCAATTTGATGTAACTGCCTTGAAGCTCTGGGCTTTATATTTAGTTTAGTCCCGCCCCAAAGTTTATTTTAGAGTGAAACTGACCTGCCGTTGTTTACATCTATCATCGCTATAAGTCATTTGTCCCTGTCATGTACTCACCGTCTCACCTGCCGTGTTGCTGAGGACCTGACTAGCTTTTAATTGTTTTGTTGTGGTCTTTGTCCAGGGGTTCAAAATGCTTCTGTAAACAGCTGGTAGATTATATCAGGGTAAACCATTTTCGTCACGCACTGTAAATAACATTCTTTACTCCTCTCGCAGACCTATTCTTTTCTCTGCTCACTCATTTCAGTATTAATTAGTATGCGGCTACGGCTTCTTTTGACAAACCTTATTTTGACATTTTCGATTGCAGTAATATTTCCACGCGTGACTAATCTGTTTTGATTTTATTTCGCAGAATCGAGAACTACAGATTATGAGGAAGCTGGACCACTGCAATATCGTCAGACTACGTTACTTCTTCTACTCCAGCGGGGAGAAGGTATTTACCAGGGAAAGAGACAGAACCAAGCCCTGACTCAGAAAGCACTTCTTACCAGGAAAAGAGACTGAACCAAGCACTGACTCAGCAGTTTTTACAGTAATTGATACTTGGCAGCTGATGACATAAATATGATATCGGGGGTGTGTAAGCACTGCCCTGTGTGAGGCGTGTTAGACTTTAAATCTGACCAGAAAGAGCTGGTTTAGTTGGAGCTACAACAGGTGGGCAGATTTGTGCTGTTAAACAAGCCTTTCACACATAAAATTACAGTCACAAGAGCTAGTATTAACCAACAGATTTTCAGTTAGTCACTTTCACCATTGTTACTGAAAATCAAACAACCTAAACGGGACCATGAACGCTCGTATTGATCACAGGCTCCTGAAAATGAATTGTTTAAATTAGGGGTCTCTAACCTTTTTTCCTCCAGTGAGCTACTTTGACAAAATGAAAATGCCAGAGTGCTGCTCATTTTAGCAACCGCAAAATGATATAAGAAAGAGGGCAAGCCTTAGTTGGGGTACAGTTAAATGCCTATAAAACATAAACCGTTATCCATTTATCAGTGCACCAGTGGTAATAGCCATGTAATTAATATATTTTTAGTTATTTAGCATAATACATATAATTCAAAAACGCATTGGCGAGCTACTTCAATTGGCTGTAGAGCTATAGCTCCCGAGCTACAGGTTGGAGATCCCTGGTTTAAATCCTTTTTTTTTTTCTTGAGTTTTCAGACCATTTTAAAGGTCCTGTATTGATCCAAAGTGACTCAGGTGAGCTTTAAGCCACGTTTTAATGCTGTTACCTCATCAAAAACAGACCCGGAGCTGTGTTTTAGTTGATTCACACATGTTTGAGTAATCCTTCTTTAATCCTTAATTTCTGGAGAATAAGTCGCTACTTTTTTCTCCCACTTTCTCACACACAGTTATTTTGTGCTTCATACACACACCCTCCTCATGTAAGACACACAAATAAATGCAGATGATGCTGCTTTTAAGTTAAAAGCAAAGGCTGTCAAGAAGTAAATCAAGCTGCTGCACGTGAGCTTGGCATCATTGAGTCGATGGTGAGACGATGGCGACGGCAGCGTGACGAAATGACTCAATGCAAAAGGACGACAAAAGCTTTTAGAGGCGATAAAAGCAGACGGCCTGAACTTGAAAACGTTCTTGAAGACGTGGACACCTGCGGCTTATAGACATAGACATATAGTGCGACCTATATATGTACAATTTTAAAGTTTAGTTAAAATTTAGTTTATGTGGCTTGTGTTCAGGGGCACTCAAAATCTGGAAATTACGGTATTAGTCTGTCTGCATCTCCAAAGCTCAAAATGCTCTGATCCACCTTGTGATGTCATGAAGCGGTAGTTTTCAAGTTAATAGCTACTTTTACCCTCTGTTTAGTAGAGATTGGCAATGCCAGAGCTGAAATCATCCAAATGATTCTAGTGGAGGTGTGTGGAGTTTAAAAACACAGTGGAGTGCTTTCCTTTTGAGAGAAGAATTTGTCTTAAATATGCAGGGTTTGTGTGTTAAACATGTGTGAATGAAGCAAAACAAAACTCCAGGCATGTTTTTGATGAGGAAACAAAATTATAGATAGAAAATTGCGTAACATGGGTCCTTTTAAATCTTTTTTGACTCTGTTTGCTCAGAATTGCACCATAGACACAGACAGTGCAAAGAATCGATCGCATAAGCAATTTTGTCGTCTGAAAATGTGTTTGCGTTTTGTGTTTTGTTTTTGTCACAGAAAGATGAAGTGTACCTCAATCTCGTGCTGGATTTTGTCCCTGAGACGGTGTACCGAGTGGCACGGCAGTTTAACAAGGCCAAGAGCATCATCCCTATTATTTATGTGAAGGTAACAGGCTCCACGATCACACAGCCGCTCCTCTCAGACGCACACTCGCACTGACGCTGTAAAAACGTCAAAGCAAAGTTTAACTCCTGCGTCTCCTCCTCAGTGAAAGGCTTTATATTATGTGATTTATTTTGGAGGAGGTGCTTTTATGGAGAACGGTGAGAGGAGCAGATTTTAGTAGCTCCTCCTAAAAGTGCTCAGAATTGCCTGTAAATGTCAAAGTTTTAAGTTTCAATTAAAGGGCAATGGTCTGTAAAATGAAGTGAGTGCAGAAATGTCACTTTATACCCAAAAGTTCCTCTTGGTTATCTATATATTGAATAAACTATTATTTGATTTACAGACCAGAAAGGATGTTTTGTAAAGTTAATGTAGTTGCTGACCCCTGGAGCCTCTCAAGTGAAAGAGCTGATGACAAACAAAGGAGATGTAAATCACAGTTTGCTTCTTCTTCTCATGCAAAAAATACTAGAAAAACATGCGTTCTTTTTACTGTGAGCAGACTCTCTCTCAGCTGCTTGTCTCCGTGATGGGAAATGAAATAAATGCCATACTGTGTAACATTTCAGGCAAAATGGTAATTATCTGTATGGAGACAAGCTGAAAAGTTACATCGTGCACCTATTTTTTTAATTTTTTGGTACAGTATATTTTTTTATAGAGATATTTAACAACACAAGAGTTAACAAATACACAAAAGAACAAAAATAAAAGGGCAAGTGGAAACAAAATTTTAAGACCTTGTTTCCTCTCCTCCTTTATTTCTGTTAGACAACTTATTCACACAGTCAGGTCTCAAAATCGCTGTGTATTGAATTCACTTCTGACAAAACACGTAACATTTTTTCCTTTTGAAGTCTCAATGACATTGTAAGATTTTCCATCAAAATTATTTAATGAACAGTATCGTACAACTCTTCTCAAATCTACCGTAGTGACATTTGGAATCTCCTGGACTAAGTACAGATATAGGAAGTCAAAGGGAATATCGAAGCTGAAAATATTTAGTAAACATTAATGGAGCTCTTGCCCACAGTGCACCTTTTTAAAATTAAAACTTGGTATCATCTCCGTTTGGACATAACCCCATCCTCTGGTCGTACTGAGTTCTCCCGTGTCTCTCCTCAGGTGTACATGTACCAGTTGTTTCGCAGCCTGGCGTACATCCACTCTCAGGGCGTGTGCCACAGAGACATCAAGCCCCAGAACCTGCTCGTCGACCCGGAGACCGCCGTCCTCAAGCTCTGTGACTTCGGCAGGTGAGGAGTCTGATGGGAATTTTACTTTAGATCACACATTTTAATCGCCAGTGGGAAACTAAAGTCAATCAGATGGATTTATACTCGTAAAGAGGAGAGATTTTACTTTTATGGCACAGACTGTATAAAGAAGTGGAGTGAGTGAGTGTGACGTCACCTGTAGAGTTTGGCTCCAGTCAAATGAAGCTCATGAAGGTTGCATTTACGGGGCGAATTTGGAGCCAGGTTTCATATTAGGAATAGGATTTTTTATTTTTTTTTCCATACAAAATAGTGAAATAAAAAGCAGGTTAATGCGAACATTTTAAGACCACAATGATGAGGTTCACTGCAGTATTTACAGAGAGAGGGTCAACAATACTCTAATGTAAGTCAATGGGAGCTAGAGGTAGTAGGAACTGGAAGCGACCGCATGTGAACTTCTTATTTGAAACACACGAGTAGCGTGTTACTCATGTCCATTTATACAGTCTCCGTGTTCCCCGTGTTTTATGAGGTATGAACTGCTACACATAACATATTTAGATCACCACGTTTCCTTTTACTGTTTTGAAAATGCTATATTTATCAAAAACAACATATTAATGTTAATTAAGTTTCATATTCACCCTTTGCCAATTTTTATGAGTTTTAATTTGTATGATTCTTATTCACAATCAAACAGAACCCCAAAACACAACCCAAATGGGAGAAACACATACCGTAATTGTGTTCTTCTGCAACAAAAACAAACTTGTGTGTGCCAAAATTATGGAAAGTACTTAGTCAGAAAAGTTTAGTAACGCTTCCTGTCCCTCCTCAGTGCTAAACAGCTGGTGCGTGGAGAGCCTAACGTGTCATACATCTGCTCCCGGTACTACCGCGCTCCGGAGCTCATCTTCGGAGCCACAGACTACACGGCCAACATCGACATCTGGTCGGCCGGCTGTGTGCTCGCGGAGCTGCTGCTGGGACAGCCCATCTTCCCCGGGGACAGCGGAGTGGACCAGCTCGTGGAGATCATCAAGGTCTGACTCTGGTTTAACTTTGTTTAGGTTTTGACTGTGTAAAAGGCTTGTCCTCACTCAAACTTTTGTACTTTTGTTTTTAGGTTTTGGGAACTCCCACCAGAGAACAGATCCGTGAAATGAACCCAAACTACACAGAATTCAAGTTTCCTCAGATCAAAGCTCATCCATGGACCAAGGTACAGGAGATATGCAGACTTTTCTAGACAAGTCGACTGTGTTCATGTTTATCTTCAGATTGAATTGTCGTTTATATTTATGTAAATGTAAAGAGTGAAGATGGCTGATCCTTATAATCTTGGCAAACCAATGACCTTACAAAAAACAGTAAATGCTCTGCCCACTCGTCTCAGTTGAGTTTCTCCTGTCTGGTGTTCCAGGTGTTTAAACCGCGCACGCCGCCCGAGGCCATCGCTCTGTGCTCTCGTCTGTTGGAGTACACTCCAGCCTCGCGTCTCTCTCCGTTAGAGGCCTGTTCTCACGCCTTCTTTGACGAGCTGCGTCTGCCCAACACCCGTCTGCCCAGCGGCCGAGAACTGCCCCCCCTCTTCAACTTCAGCACCGCAGGTACAGGACACGGCACAGGGGCATGGTTATGTCAGGGTTAGAGATACAGCGATCTGCCTTTTTCAGCACCTGCCGATATACAACTTTTATTTCCTTAAATCGAAAATGAAATAAGACAAAACTGATCCAAATGTGCTATAGAGCTGTTATTTATTTTTTCTAGTAACTACAGAAATGTGTGTAAATAAAAGTCAGTTACCAACTATGACCAGTAACTAGTTTTACATACACATGACATACTTTTAATTTAATTTTTATATATCTGATCCATCAAATTCTTCAGTATCGGTGCTGAGATCAGTATCAGATTTGTGGATACTTAATTGGAGTAACTCTGAATTGATTGTGATTTGATGTGTCAAAAGACTAAATTAGGAAGGACTAAAATCTAAACTTTTCTTATGTGGAATGACATTACACACTACATTATCATAAACGTAAGAATTGATTAATTGATCAAACAGGACTGCTTGGCAAAGATAAAGTTTTAGCAATTTGGTAACTTTGGGTAATCTCAATAAAATAAAACGGCGTCAGAGTTACTCCAAAATGGCGCAGAGCTTTTATGAAACCCTCGTCATGGTGCGAAGGAAATATTTTTATTTTCCGAACAACATAACAATTTCAGTTGAGGCTTGACTTTATTTTCGGTCAAAGTTGAAGGAGTTTAATAGCTTCTAAATGTGTTTGTGTGTTTGTTCACAGAGCTCTCGATCCAGCCTCAGCTGAACTCCACTCTGATCCCTCCTCACGCTCGCTCTCACACGGTCTCCTCCGCCCACGGTAACCACGGTAACCACACTTCTCCGCCGCTAATCACAACGGCGACTCTGTATTTTTATTCAACTTTCAAACAAAACAACAGATTAGATTAAAATAGAAGAGATTCAAACGTGAAAATCAGTCGATGACGATTATTTATCCCGCACTTTGATGCATTTTCACATTATACACAGCCAGGAAAATGTCTCCAATAATAATCTCTAAATGTGTAAAGCAAAGATCAACACTGACTTTTATTACTTTTATGTTATTTTAGTTTTTTATATTTGTTAGGAGAATTGCAAATTATAATGAAAGCAGCAGCGCAGACTTTTTTGATCCACAAGGGGAATGATTTTGGACACAGCAGCTCACACGTCACAATATAATATAATAACAAAGGGCAAAAATGTAAAAGGTAATAATAAATTCAAATTAATTAACAAAAATAACATGTCAAAAATAAAGTATAATTGTATAAATGTATATGGGACTTGGTTTAATGCCGCACTGTGGGGTTTTAGGTGTCCAATGATTTTATGACGTGTAGGAAACAAATAGTTAAAATCTTGTAGCTGAATAAAATAAAAACAGGCTTCAGAACTGACAAATTCTCTTGAAGCTGAGAGATTCTTAAAACTGAATGTATTTCATGTAACTGCTGTGGATCCTACAAAGTTTCAGAACACTCAGTTGGGACTGTCGCCATAGTAATTACCAATTTTAAAACAAATAAATATCCTTTGAATGGGGAAAAAGTCCTCAAGATGGACTTTGTTATAGTAGTTATAGTTGTAGTTGTAGTAGTTGTAGTAGTTGTAGTAGTTGTAGTAGTTGTAGTAGTAGTTGTAGTAGTTGTAGTTGTAGTTGTAGTAGTTGTAGTAGTTGTAGTAGTTGTAGTAGTAGTTGTAGTAGTTGTAGTAGTTGTAGTAGTTGTAGTTGTTGTTAGTAGTTGTAGTGTAGTTGTAGTAGTTGTAGTAGCTGTAGTAGCTGTAGTAGCTGTAGTTTGTAGTAGTTGTAGTAGTTGTAGTTGTAGTAGTTGTAGTAGTAGTAGTTGTAGTAGCTGTAGTAGTTGTAGTAGTTGTAGTAGTTGTAGTAGTAGTTGTAGTAGTAGTTGTAGTAGTAGTTGTAGTAGTTCATTCGATTATGTTGCAGCACTACAAAACAAAACAAAACATGGACTACAACCCCATGGATCATGACCAAAAGTAAAAAGTGCTTTTAATGCCAAACCTTGTTAAAGAGTGACAGAATTCCATGAAAGAAAGCGGCGTATGAGCAGCAGTTTACATTTACAATTTCACTTTTGACCTGCTGTATATATAAGAGACAAAATATAAATTAAAACAAACACTGATTATTATATATTATTATATTCAGATGTGTGAGCTACTGTGTCCAAATAATTTCTGTCCAAGTCTTTAAGTTCAGAAAGATCTACTCTTATAATATGCACTTCTCTTAATGAAGGTAAAAAAAACCCAAACAAAACTAAAATATCATAAAAGTAATAAAAGGAAGCTGAAATCCGTAAATATAGACTCTGTTCACGCTTAAGTCACAAACCAGGAAGACGTTTGTAAACATGCGATGACAACTCCCGGCGGGTTCTGTTCACAGTAATAAGTCTGACAAAATGTAGGAAAAATTAGAAAATGTCCCAGTTTTCTTCATCTGCATGTCATTATTTCATTCTGTTATGTTCGGCTAATCAACTTACCTCATACAATACGTCAGTTTTCATCATTTCCGCACTGACGCACAACTTGGAGCGCACTGGGTTCATGCAATTAGAAAAGATGAGGCACCAAATTCAAGATGATTCCAAACAGCACATACGTATGCAGTCTTCATTTTACCTCTGATCACATTTTATCACAGTTGTTTGGAGAGCCCAAAGTTGTCATCGCATGTTTCCAAACGTCTTTCTGGTTTGTGACGTAAGCGTGAATAGAGCCTATTGTCTGATACGTGAACAAAGAAATGATTCTACCAGGAAACAAGATTAATATTCTGAATCTAATCTGATGTACCGGTCAAAAGTTTAAGAACACCACACTCTTTCCAGTTTTTTACAGTTTACTGGTGACCAAAACGTATTCTAAACTTTTGATTAATGAAAGTGTCCACCTTTGACAGATATAACAACTGAACACACTCGTGGCTCATTCTTTTTGCAATAGAAATCGAATATTCTTCAGAAAGTTCTTCCCAGGTCTGTTGCAGAAGTTTCCATAAATGTGTGGCACTTGTAGGTTTCTTGGCTTTCACTCTTCTGTCCAGTTCATCCCAAACCAGCTCGATGGGGTTTAATTTTGGAGACTGTGCTGGACACTCCATGTTTTCAAGTTTACTATCTTGTTCTTTTTTCCTGAGGTAGTTTTGGCAGAGCTTGGACTTGTGTTTTGTTTTCTTTTATCTTTTTTTTTTTCAACCTCTAGCTGTTCAGTTCTTACCTTTGTACCATTTCAAGCTCTTCATTGGACTTGCACGACTTGAATTGCAATAAAAAACTGGAAAAATTTGGATGTTCTAAAACTTTTGACCGATAGTGTAAATCCCACCTGAATGAAGGAGGGATTACAGACGTCTTGTAGCTCTTCCTTTCTCTCTCCTCACGCAGAACGTTATTAATTATCATGTCTCTCTTCCTCTTTTTGTGCAGATGGCAGCGGTTCGGACTCGTCTCAGCACAGCTCAGTCCAGGGCTCTCTGAACAGCATCTGACCCCTTCACCCCTCCCTTCCTCTCTTTCTCTTCCTCTCTTCTTTTCTCTCTCTCCCTCTCTCTCTCTGTCTCTCTTCTTTTCTCCCTCTCTCCCTTCTCCTCCTCCTGTCAGACACACTCACTCACTCCTGTCCCCGAGCCCGCGCTGCTCCTCTTCTGTTGGTCCCGTCTCATCTTTCTGTGAACGCATTGAGCCCTCCGTCAGCAGGGGGCGCTCACACGTTTTTACCTCAGTGCTGCCTCAGTGGGAAGTGAAGGTTCAGGGGCTGGTCCTCTTCTTAAATAGACTCTTTTTAATCTTTTAAATTTTTGTCGTGTTTTATTTATTTGTTACTTTAAAATGTCATCATGGGCTCTCGACATGGTGCTTTAAGCTTTTCAGATTATATTTTTAATAATGTTTTCTGTTTAATTTTATTTTGATTCCCTGTTTTTGTCGTTTTTTGGAGGTTGGGCTGTGCACTGCCTGAACAGAATTTGCCCCATGTTGGAGATCAGGGTAAATGAAAAATCCATCTCAGGACAACACACTCCCTGAAATCCCCTTTGATCATTTCTGTGGCTTTAAGAGAAAACATGTTCTAGCTGGCCGTGAAATCATAACAGTTTTAAGACTAAAATTAACCCACAAATGTATAACTGCTAATCTTAATCCGATATCAAAATCCAGTGAGCAAAGACGAAGAGCTCTTAAGGCGTTTGGTGTGTATTATTATTGGTACATTCCTTCTTTTCGATGCTTTTTCTAACAGACAGACACTCGGTAATTGGATGCAACATTTGTTCAGTAAGAATGAAAACCCCAATATAAAGTACGGTACCTACAGCTTGAATGTAGAAATATGTTTAATCCGGCTTTCTGGCATTTTAAAAGACCTGCAAAGCTTTTAGGTAAAGACTAGGTCAGATATCTCATGTAACCTGCTTAACCATAGACTAACAACAGAAATGAAATCACTCTAATACTTATACTAGTCACAGCTCGCTGTAACCTTAGTCCTGCCTCAGCAGCAAAACGATGTAAAGCAAAGAGAAGAGTTTGGGAAAAACCATTGAGGCTGATGATGTTATTACCACAAAATGAAATCCTTTTATCTTTTAAACCTTGATAATGTCTGTGGTAAATATTTTATTTTCCTAGAAAAAAAAAACACAATGAGATGGTATGTTGATTTCTTAATGTCTGGCTTATATTGAAACTTTGTGTTGGGGAATTTTAAAGTGAAATTTTAAGTGGACACGGGTCTGTTTGTCCAAATTATGTCAACATCTGTCGTGTAAAGGACAAAGATGAAATCAAATGATAAACTAGCATCAGTACTGACAGGGATATTAGCACTGAGATTCTTGTCCTGGTGTTTTTAGAAAAATATTCAAATTAACGTTGTAAAACATAATGTGAAAGTGATCAACAGCAGATAACTATTAGAAGAAGGGCATTTGGTGTTTGTCAGAATAGTTCTTGAGTATGTTTATTTCATCGTTTTCAATGAGCCTTTGCAGTAGCCATAGAGACAACGGTTATTGTGCTCCTATATTGTGACCACAGTTTGAGATTTCGCTGTTTTGTGCAGAAATGATTATGATACTTTCTCTTTATTGCTACCAGGGCCTTCATCAGTGATCCTCATGGCAAACTAAATGTGAGCATCTGAAACCGTTTTAGACATTTGTACATTTCGGGACCACTTGAATCATGTCTTCACCTCCTCTGGCGTCTGGTTTCGGCGTCCGCTTTTGGGACTTGCATTTTAACAGCCCTCGAATGTATTTTGTCCCTTTTGTCTATCCGACCATTATCCAATCTCCAGTCTGCAGCTTGTGTCTTAGTCTAGAGCAGCCTACAATAACAACTCTAGTCCCGCTCAGTACAGACCACTTGAAAGTTTGTAGTATAGTATATTTGATACAACTGTTCCAACTGCCATCATCTTTGTTTTTGCGATCTTTATTTTATACAAGTCAAGGGCTGCGTTCGGCCTTGATGCAATTTTTTAATTTACATTTAAAATTAATATATTCTCTTTTCTCCCTATAACCTCTCTCGTTGGGTTGGTTACTGCCATTAAAACTAAAAATGAGGAACACCGCGGACGCTTTAGGGTACAGTTTGGTGCTACGAGCTTGCGCAATTTGTAAAGCAATGAAAGGCACCGATTTACCCTCGTCCGCGGAGAAAAACGCAGCTAATCTGACAAAACGACCACTTTTAAAGAAGCCATTTTCTCTCTCTCTCACCTCTGCCAGTCTTCTCCATTGATTATCAACGCACATGTAAATACCACCGACTTTGATTTCCTTATTTTTATTATTATATTTTATGGTTTATATTACACCCACCTCACTTTTAAGACTTTTACGTTGTGGATTTTTGTAAATAAGTTTTTTTTTTTCACAATACAAAATGTAAATACGGCAAAAAAAGGATAAAAAATATTCTGTCAACTTCACATGTGTTGATAGTTCTTCTCGCTCTTCCTCTTTCTCAATAGTGGATAGTGATTTTGCCATAACTACTGTACTACTATTACTACTACTATTACTACTACTAGAGTTTGTGGAAGATAGTCACCGTTAAAACAGAAAGTGGTGCCCCTGTACTTTGACTGAACAGTATAAAGACAACTGTAATAGCGCTATAAGTTGAGTACTGTAATTCTTTTTATTAAATCTGTCATGAAGTGTTGGCTCTGATTGCACTCTCAATTGTGATTTTATATGATTTTGCTATTCCAGTTGTCGACAGCAGGGGGAGTACAGGGAGCACGCATTACTCACTCAGTCATTGCGCATACAAGACTGTTACTTTCAAACCAGTAGTGTTGTAAAATATCCTGTGTGTTTCATTTTTCTGGTTTTGGTCTCGCTTTTCACAAATTAAGGAAGAGGGAGCGGGAGAAGGCCCAAGTGTCTGTCCGTTCTGTGTGCGTACGATATCGGCTCATTTACTGGAATAAAGTGATGAAACTGTGACCGTTTGCTCTGCGTCTTTTGTTATTATTGCGATTGAACTGAAACAAGTATAAAGCTGTTTACTCTTTATCTCCAAAGCTCAAAACATTCTGATCCAGATTGTGATTCAGCTACCATTTACTTTTGGTTGAGCAGAAATTGGCAATTCCAGGGCTGAAAGTATCCAAATGTTTCTAGTGAAGGTGTATGGAGTTTAAAAACACAGTGGAGCACTTCATATATTACCACGTGACATAGCAACAGTGTGTTTTGAGTTTGAGAGAAGCCTAAATATGCAGGATGTGTGTGTTAAACTTGTGTGAATGAAACAAAATTCCATTAATGTTTTTTGATGAGGAAACAAAACATAGATCAGAAAATACTGTAACATGGGCCCTTTAAAGTAATTATTGTGTTATAACTACTTTCTGAAGTCTTCCAAAATGTGCCTAATGTGTATCAGATTTGCAATGATCCAAAAAATGACTTTCACCTCAAAACCTAACAATAATGCAGCAATTACACCAACTGGGAGAGGTTGATTGGACTGTATAAACAATTAAATGTATACAGTTACCAGTCGTTCCTTTTAACCCGGGACAGTCCCAGTTTTGAGCCAGGGGGTCCCAGCAGATTTTGTCCCAGTTTTATACAAGAAATATCCCAGGTGTCTATATTTTTGACCAATTTGATCCAAACAAGGACTAAACTAAAACTAAACCAGGCCTAAAACAGGACTATCACAATTTTTTACTAATTTGATCACCGTCAACAGTAAAGAGGAGCATAAATTGTCATCTGTTTTGCCAATAAACAGAAAACCATGTTTGCAAATGACCACCCAAACCCAAAACATGCTACACAGGTCTCCAGGAAGAACAGTTAGTCAAGAGCAAATAAATACAATCAATCAATGAACCTGCCCAGGGACTACAGGGGGAAATTAGCACTGGTGCTACAACCTGGTGCATGTATCTCTCCTTTTTAGGTTAATGTAAAAATTGTGCGCTGTCCCTGTCTCAAATAAATAAATAAATACCATACCAACTTTATTTATAAAGCACTTTAAAAACTTTACAATAGGCCAAAGTGCTGTACACAAACAGAGGACAGACAATGACAATCGAAGTAGAAGAAAATAAATGGTACAAACACAATACAGCTACTAAAAAACATAGAAAACAGTAAAATACTCAACAAGAAATATACATGTCACTTCTTTTAAAAGCCAGTGAAAAAAGGTACCTTTTTAGGAGTGATTTAAAAACAAGTACAGACTCACAGCCTGTCTCATCTCTAATGGCAACTGGTTCCACAATAAATAAATCAATCAATAAATAAACAAACCACAAAGCAAAAAATGCATTCACAGAAGCTCCTCAAGATTATGACATGAGAATGCAAAATGTTACACACTTTTTTCACAGTTTTATTCACACCAACCATCCCAGTGTCCCAGTTTTTAATTTTGCAAATCTGGTCACCCTACATAGACTGTATACAGTGTTGGGGAGTAACAGATTACATGTACTGGAGTTACGTAATCAGAGTACAAATTATGAGTAACTGTATTCAGTTACAGTTACTGTTTCAGTGAGTGGTAATTGGATTACAGTTACTTTGTTGAAATAAATGGATTACATGGTGGTATTTTCCTGCTTTCACATTTTGGGCTAAACCAGGACTAAACGAGGTCTAAAACCAGTACTAAACCAGGACTAAAACCAGGTCTAAACTAGGACTAAACTAATACAAAATGACACTAACAGTAGGGTGAACATAATTTAAGGCAGCAGTGATCTCATATAAAAATAATTTCTCTATCAATAATATTTTTAATCTGGTCAAATAAAGACTGAACAAATATGAATTTTCAGGATGTGGTTGGTACATTCATGTAGTTTTAAAAAACATGACAATATCAAGTAATCCAAAGTATTCAGATTACATTACTCTCTTTAAGTAATTTAATGGATTAAGTTACAAACTACATTTTGAGGTATGTAATCTGTAATCTGTAGTGGAATACATTTTAAAAGTAACCCACATACAAACTATTACAAACAAAATTTCATATCACTTAAAATTACTCTATCAGTCCATCAGTTGTTTTAGCTTTTCTGTTAGGAAAAAGATTATTTCACAACTAATTCTTCCCATTTTAGATTACTGCGATATCATTTATCAAAATACTACAACTTCTATTCTCTAACCACTCAACGTTATCTATAACAGTCTGTGCAGATTCATTCTCCGCTGTCCCTGAACTCACCACTGTGCAATGTATCACCAACTGTCCTGGCTTAATCTGTCCTCCCGACGTCAACTTCACTGGTTATTATTTATTTTTAAATATATTAATCTCAGTTATCTTGAATATCTTAAACAGTATTTAATTCCATTCAGATCCTCTTACAGTTTACGTCATGCAGATCAGATATTTTTTGTTGTCCCAAGAGTCAAAAAACAAATTGGAAAATACTCATTTAAATATAAAGCTGCTTCTGATTGGAACAATCTTCCCTCATCGATTCGTGCTTTAACTTCTGTCCCTTTATTTAAAAATGCTCTGGTTCAACATTTACATAACCCATGTCATTGTTTTTGATTATTTTGTTGAATTTTGTTGTTTATCTTGTTGTATCCTGTGATTATCTTTGAACTCTGTTTATAATAATAATAATAATAATAATAATTATTATTATTATTATTATTATTATTATTATTTGTGTGTGTGTGTGTGTGTGTGTGTGTGTGTGTGTGTGTGTGTGTGTGTGTGTGTGTGTGTGTGTGTGTGTTGATTTTGTTGTTTTGATGCTCATTTGAATGTATGTCTCCTACTGTTTGCCTGACTGCATCTGTCTTTTGTTGTTGTATTTTTATGAGGACCCCCTTGAAAACGAGATGGTGACACATCTCGAGGGGCTTATCCTCTAAACAAACAAAGAAGTAAAAACCTTCCCAACACTGACTATATAAAGAATAAAATTTATTATAAACAGTCTGTGGGAGTGTTGCAGTCCGGTTGTAATGCTCCTCCTGTCCGCCGTGTGTCGCTGTTGTGTTGTTTGTTTTAACCCTAAATCGGCTCCTCGCATTTGTTTGAAAACGACCAAAGCGAACAGAGGCGATCCTCGAAGGTAAACGCGTTTATTCGCTTTAAACACGATGCATATCACTTTTATCCACCTCACCGTGTTGCATTTTCACCTCGTTAATCATTAAGGATCACGTTGAGCGCGTTTATATGACCAGGCGCACAATAAGTTGAAAACACAAGTCACATGTTAGCCGGGCGTTAGCATAGTTAGCTTAGCTCGGTGTGTTGTGAAGGCGACGCCGGTGTCACAGGCCGAAACAGACCCGCGCGTGCTCCGATCTGCTCTAAATGTAAATAAATCACCTTTATTGTGTGGTTTGTGTCGTGCTGTTGCTGCAAACATACACATAATAACAGGAAAATAGTTAGATGATGTGATATGAATTCAGAACTGCGATGCTGCTAAATGCTAACGTGCTAATCTGGATGGTAAAAGCCGAAAGGTGGAAATCGTGATCAACTATTGCACTATTTCTTTATATTTTTATAAGCGGTGTACTCTGGCTGAACATAGCTGTCAGGAGCCGGTTGTCTTGTAATTTTAACACGTATTTCTTCTGACCGGGTCTCTCTGTGTGTGTTTGGGCGTGGATGCAGCGCCAGAGCCGTGTTTGTTTAATGTGTTATTCTTTATTTGCACGCACACTTTTAATATTTCCTTCCTAGTCGTGCCTATTTACCCGGGACATTCCCAGTTTTGAGCCCCGTGTCCCCTGTCCCTGCAGATTTATCCAAAACCACCGATTTGTCCCAGTTTTATACAAGAAATGTTCCAAGTGTCCCTATTTTTGACCAATTTGATCCAAACCAGGTCTAAACTAGGACTAAACTAAAATTAAACCAGGCCTAAAACAGAACTATCACAATTTTTGACTAATCTGATCCCTGTCAACAGTGAACAGAGGCATAAACTGTCATTTGTTTACGTAACATACAGAAAACTGCTTAAAAATGACCAAAATACAAAGAAAATGTGACTATACTGACACACATTAGTGCTGAGTGCAGAACAATTTTCCTTAGTTACGTGCTCGTTTCTCAGTTTTATTATTACCAATCACCACAAACCAGGGATGTCACATTTTTTATTTTTATTTTATGTATCTGGTCACTATATCTTCATCCCTGTGTTATTTTCAGTACCAGTGTTGACTATTTTACTAGTCTGTAATGCTGGTTGCTGCAGATATTTTGTTTATATTATAATTTTGGTGCATGGTCTTATGATACACGAGTTATACTTTTGAATTTACATTTGATTTTGGGTAAGAAAGCTTCAGACTGATTAAAAGATGTAGTTAATAGTACGTTCAGTATCTGATATATCTTATTTTGTTATATCTGTTCCTCAGTTTTTCCTCTTTGTTGGATATAATAGTGTTATAATAGTAATGCCAATGATAGTGTTTAGTTTGGGAATACTTTGACTGACTTTAAAGTGAAATAAGACAAATGCAATTAGGCTTGTAATAATAACAAATTTCAAGCAATAACAATAAAGCAAGATTATTCAAGGAAACACTTTTTAAACAGGCTCTATTCATGCTTTCGTCACAAACCAGGAAGATTTTTGGAAACATGCGATGACAACTTCTGGCAGGATCTGTTCTTGGTTGTAAGTCTGACAAAATCTAGGAAAAATGAGAAAAATGTCCCAGTTTTCTTCATCTCCCTGTCATTGTAGCGTTCTGTTATGTTCGGCTAATTAACAAGTACAACCATACCTCAGTTTTCATCATTTCCTCACTGACGCACGACTCAGAGAGCACTGGGTACATGTGATTAGAAGAGATGAGGTGTCAAATTCAAGATGATTCCAAACAGCACATACTTCATTTTACTTCATTTCACTTCATTCAGTCTTCATTTTACCACTGATCACATTTACTTCAGTAGGTTTGATCACAGTTGGGAACTACACTGGAAGTTGTCATCACATTTTTCCAAACGTCTTTCTGGTTTCTGGTAAGCGTGAATAGAGCCTATCGTATAATTAACAGACATGAATTTCAACTCATAATAAATAGCTGAACGAACCAATAATTAGCAATAGAAGTTACTTATTCAACTCTCTACAGCTCAAATCTTGTTGTATTATAAGAAAAATAACCAAAATCTCAACACAAGTGCAAAGAAAACGTATCCACGATAAATATTTGGCCCCAAAATGTATAGTTTCAATTTTGATATATTGAACAATAAATCGAAATAGTGATTATTGTGGCAGGTCTAAATGCGACTTATCGACTTTCAGTATTACTAAACCTTGACACGTTAACATTTGTTCTTTGTAGGCAGAAGCTGAGAGCCATGGCTCGTGGGCAGCAGAAGATTCAGTCCCAGCAGAAAAACGCCAAAAAAGCGGCCGAGAAGAAGAAGGGCCAAGGCGCCGACCAGAAAACAGCGGCTAAAGCGGCGCTCGTCCACACCTGCCCCGTCTGCCGCGTAAGCACCTCTCACACGCTTATGCTTCTACTAACAACTCAGTGCAGGGGTCAGCAATACGGCAACAAAATGTATTTTATGATTTGTTTTGGAACCATTTCACAATTCATGTATACCTTATATTTTCATTCTATTCTCCTGAGATTCTTTTTGTTTCACACTTCCTTGTTAGGTCAACATAAAAGGGCATTTGCAGCTTAAAACAGGACCTTACGTAGTCCTCTGTAAAAGTAGAAGTGCCTTGAATTGGCTAAGAAAACATCTGTTGAGGAAATTTGGGTCAGTTTAATATCTGGGGTCGGGAAACACAGATGTGAAAACTGTCTCCTCCTCACCTGAACTATTTAGTGCTGGAGTGTCTTGTTTTGTTCTTTATCTGTTTATATTTTGGTTTATCTGGTGGAGTGTGATTGGCTGATGAACTACAGTGTCTAAAAAAAGTGTTGCCAGTAGAGATAACCTTCCTTATCTCTCAGCTGCCCATGAAAAACAGAAAATGTCAAGACAACTTAACCTTGTGATCATGTGCTGTTCTGAACCGAGTCACTTGAACGGTACAAACTGTGACAGGATTTGGTTTAGTCTCACGCTGCTACTTGTTTCACTGCAGGCTTTAACTGTAAGATTTTAGTTTGAAAACAAGTCTCCACCATTAAGAGCACGCGGAGAAACATCCAAAAGGAAAACCTATGAATGTAAAAGTTGATTATTTATATTATTGAACAGACAATCTATTTACCATCACAAAATCTGAACATTTGTAATAGTCAATTTAAAAAAACTCAAGGCAATCACTGGTTAAAGTAAAATGCCTTTTTAAATTTTTGGCATGTCTTAATGGACAACTTACAAAGTCCCGACGCATTTCAGCCTTTGACACACCTTTGTCCCCTGAGGAAAGCCTTGCGTTTTTTGCATCTTTAAATTGACTTCCCTTCCCCAAAGAGCACCACTGTGTTCTGTCTACTGTGTTTTATCCTTCGGAGGTCCCGGAAGCGCTCCTTTTGAAACCTTTTTATTTTGAATAGTCTTTTTGAACTGCTCCCATCTCTCTTAAAGCTGCACCATGTAACTTTTCTACCTGCTAGTCTCCATGGAGATGTTAGTTTGCAAGATGGATGCTGTGTAACATTTCAAGCATTAATGTCATTACTGGTGTTTTAATCATGAATATAAATACCTCGAAAAAGAATATGCATTTTTACTGTGCGTGGGGCCGCCTCTCCACAGATCTGACTTTGCCGGATGGTGTCACCTGCTTGTTTCCATGAAAATTGATAAGATGAATGTGATACTGTCCATAGATTCCAGGCAAAGCAATAACATAAACCGTTGTTTCCCAAAGACTGGGTCGTGACCATCAGATTTGAAATTTGTTTTGGGTCGTCTTGTCACAATCTGTATGTAGATCTGCAATATACAGTTCTACAGATTATTTTTTTCCCAGTGTTGCTGGTTCAATTGGATGTTGAAAAGAAAAAGAAACGGGCTACATTTAATGTCCAAGTAGCGGACTTATGGATCCTTTTATTGTTGGTTCAAAACTTGAGTAAAACTTGAGTAATACTAATTGTTCAGAGAGACATGATCATTCAGTCAATAAAAAAATCCTCATTAATGTTCAGTAATGGTCAAATCTACCTTTATTTTGTGATTTATGAATAATGTCTGTTGACTTGGGTTGCGAAGGTTTGTGACTTTTAAAATATGGGCCCCAGGAAAAACAAGTTTGGGAAGCACTGACATAAACTCCTCAAACACACAGGGCATCACAGTAGGACACAGATGTATTTGTTTTATTATCTCTTTCCTATTTATTCACCAGGATCTCTAAAGTTTAAATCCTAAATGAGAATCTGACCTCACATTTCTCATATTTCAGACGCAGATGCCCGACCCTAAGACCTTTAAGCAGCATTTCGAGAGCAAACACCCCAAGTCTCCGATGCCCCCTGAGCTGGCTGATGTGCAGGCGTAAAGGACTGCTCCATGGACCCTGGTAAAACGTGTTTTCAAGTGTAATTTTAATAAGATTTTAATGCTGATACAACTTTGAAGAATACTGAAGAAAAATAGATGTTTTGTAAAAATCATGTTGTGTAATTTTGTCTTATAACATGGTAGAAATAACACCAGAAACATCCCTTAGTGGTTATAGATGTCTTCCATGCACAGTATTTGAGCGATCTCTCCCCTCTCTTCTTACTGTTTGCTGTAAGATTCTGTGCAAAGCTTCGCCCACAAACCTACGTCACCCCTGCTCCCACACGACAGTCCTCCGTAAATGCCTGATACAAAACTGTATGCAGCAACTTGACAAACTGATTGTGATGTGCAATAGTTTTATTAGAGGATTTCACAGTACAGTGATCGTGTTGTGATAGCGCTCTGAAGGGGAAATGACTTAATATGGGGAGCGAGTTGAGAGGAGACAAAACCGAAACGTATAAAACATGTTTGCACGTTGTTTTTGATGAATATAGCATTTTCAAACCAATAACAGGGTTTCCGTGGAGTCTTAAAAGTCTTAAAAAGGTCTTAAATTTCATATTATTAAATTAAATCCTTAAAAAGTCTTAAATTATGTTCAAGTCTTATTTTTTTCACAAAGGTCTTAAATTTCATTAGCCTATATTTTTGTTTACTCAACTGGGCTGCAGTGCAATGTTAAATGGAGTAGGGATGGGCATGATTAGTCGACTAATCGATAATTGATCATTAAGAATTTCGTCGATTACGTTCCTTTTTAATCCACAAACCAAATGTAGGTTGCTGTGCGTAGGGTGACCAAACGTCTGGTTTTCCACGTCCCGTCCTGGCCGTCCGGATTTTTTTTTCATAAAGTGATTAAAATGTCTGGGTTTTTTTGATCTTTCATTGGGCCATTAAACTGAGCGTCTCTCGTAGCTCTCTGTAACTCAGAAGGAGCGAGCAGACACAAACAGTCGGTCAGTCTGCAACATGTCGAAGCGCAAATGTGCATTTACCGATGACTTGTAGAAGAAATTCCCCTCTTTCTATCCCGGTCGAGACAAGTGGGAGGCCATGTGCACAGTGTACAAAGCCACATAAGTTTCGGTGTCAGGGACCTCAAAGTTCACCAGGACACCGAAAAACATTAAAAAGCTTTGTCAGGTGAGAGTAGCTCAATGTCGATGACGAGTCCCCACCTCCCACTCCCCGTACGGTGTCCTGGTTTAGACAAATGCAAATATGCTCACACTAACCTGTGTTCCACTGAGTCATGTCCTTTAATCTGACAGAAGTTGAACCGCATCAGCGACACAAAAGCTGTTTGTTTCTTCGGTTAGTTTATGCAAATTAGCCATGTGGTTTTAAGTTTCGTTTCTGTGAGATTTGCGCTTATCTGCATTAAACACATTATAATGTCAAACAGGCTGATGTGGCTCTAGAGTGGTTACGGTTTATATGTGGTAAAGTTGAATTTATTTATGCAGATTAGTAGTGCAGATAGTAATAATAATGATGATCATTTTAATATAAAAACGTTAATGATTAATCGATAATCGATCGTTAATTCTCCCGACAATTGATTAAGAAAATTTAATCGAATGCCCATCGCTAATTTGGAGTATACGCAAACAGTACTTAGTTTGTCTTGTTAGAATTTTATAAATGAGTTTTCTGCCCTTTTACAAGCAATACATACGACTATAAATGAGTTCTGAATAAGATTTTATAATTAAAGTATTTTTAATATTTAAAGCAGTAAGTAATGGTGATTATTAGAACTGGATCTGGTGTTTTTCACCCGTATAATGGGTGCGAAGTTGGTCTTAAAAAGGTCTTAAAAAAGGCTTAAATTTGCAGTAGTCAAACCTGAATAAAAGGTAACATTGTGATCTAAATATGTTATGTGTTAGTAGTTTATACCCCATAGAAGTAAAATACCCCTTCTTTAAAATTGCCCCTTACAGTAGGATTAAAAATATCTTCAACATCTTTTAAATTTCACTTCACCAAACCTAGAATAAATGTGTCAATATAATGTGCGTAATCTTCTTTGTTTCAGGAACCGGATCACCACAGATGACTTTTTGATCTGGAGAGACCACGTCGAACTCGAACACTGGTGACCCCTGCAGGCGGAGGAGAGACCTGCGGGTCGTGATGGTCGTGCGTGTGTGCTGTGTGTGTACGTTTGTGATTCTGTGAAATTAAACTCAACGGAGGGGCAAAAGGACACCAGCTACACCACACTTTTATATTTATTATGTACAACTACCTTATGTTTTCATAGAAGGAGAGAGGGCCTGATCCACTACCGCAGAAACGACCACACAGGGCTTACACAGAAAATGGTTACTAGGTTTATTTACACGCTTGATTACTGAACGATCGATATTTGACAAGTTTCCACCAATTTGTACAGCAAAATGTTTAGAAATAGTCTAAAAAATGTGCGTATTTGAAGTCGTGAGATCATTTCCAACGTTATAGGGTCCAAAAAAAGCAACGTACGAGTCAAGAAATGTACAAAAATTTTCACAAAAATAGTTTATTTACTTTAATGTTGACATGAAATTTACTACTTTGGGACCAGACTATTATAAAAATTCCCAAAACCTGTATAGCTTGGTGGAAAAAACAACTGGCAACGGCACAATTTGTAACATGAAGTCTACTAATATGCATAAAATTTGACATTTCTAAGTATAAACAAAACAGTATGATACCCTCCGAAGAAAAGTATTTAGTTCCTTTAACATCAGCCATCATACAATCGTAGTATTCATTGACTTTTTAGTTTAACAATAATAATAATAAACTCTGCTACTCTGTCCACTGCTGCTTCACAACTGTACCTCAGCAAATCTTGTGTATTTTTCTCTAGCTCGAACATTACCTGCAATAAAATCATCTTCGACAATGTTAAATTCAGCTGTTTGCATTCCAAGCCCTATTTTGTTTTTTTGTTTTTTTTTTTTGAATGTTTCTTGATATAAAAACATATGAAGCCCCCCGATAATAATGAGAAGAAATTACCGTTATTAGTCCCTATAGTTTCAATCATGAGCAAGTAAAATGTCCACTAATTGAGTTCACTGTACTTTTTTTACCCTTTTGAATAAACTCAATGTATTTAACATGACTTATTGTGTTTTCGGTGTTATTTTGTTGAAATGTGTCCGATAATTTGACTCTGATTATCTATTATGTAAATTCATAAATAAATGAAAACGAATATTCATTTTGGGGTTATAAAATGTTAATCCCGTAGTTTAGACATATACAGACCTGTTCAACAAAGAGTAGGATTATTGATACTTTGGAGCTGATATGTGATGCTAACTGAAGGCTCTGCTCTGTCTGAAGCTCAAGTTGGACTTTTATCTGACCATAAAAACTTATTTAATAGAAACTACAACAGTTGAGATAATTTGTCATGTTTTTGTTGTAAATCAAACTCCTAAACAGGACCATGAACACTCGTATTGTTCACAGGCTCCTGAAAATGTGTAGTTTAAATCTTTTTGGTATTTTTTCTTAAGATTTCAGACTATTTTAAAGTTTTTTGACTGAGTTTGCTAATGTGTCACCATGGTAACAGCTGAACGTTCCGACATAGACACATCCTCCTGGGACCCGAAGAAAATAAGTGTATTGCAATAAATTTTTTGTGTGATTTTTCCATCTATTTGCAGGTAAATGAACACCTTAGCATTTAGATTTTGTTCATTTTATTTTTATTTATAACATGTCCTCTGTAATGGACACCGGGAATATTTTGGTTTTAAATCCATGTAAAGTTAACAACCTAACAATAACAACTTTATTGACCAACATCTCTGACAAGCTTCTACAGTCGCCTCAAAAAATTTTTTTAGACTCCATTTTAATTTCCTTCATTCTGTTTTTTTTTTTTTTTTTTAAAATCATAGTGCAGCCACAAACTGTTGAGTTATTATTATTATTTTTATCTTGGACAAAACATTTAAAGGTTAGACTGATTCACTCAATTTTCACTATAAAGGACACGAATAAATGGGCCGGGTCTCAGGAGGATATCCAGAACACTTTGTTCGGTTGCCTGAATTCAACCCTTTTTGCTATGGACTCCACCTGAATAGTCATTCTAGAGCAGGCATGTCCAAACTATGGCCCAAGGACCAAATGTGGCTCTCAGACAAATTTTTCTTGGCCCTCAGGCTTCCAGGTGAATTGACCCAAATTACCTTGCATCAATTAAAAATTAACTTTTTACTGCAAGTTTTTTTTTTTATCTACCTTGGTAAAGCAAATATTTAATATTTAGTGTGTGGGTTTAAGGATCTTAGCATGACTAGGCAAGTTACATTGTTGACAAAAGTGTGCGTTGCATGCTGGGAATTATTTTGGTCGGCGGCAAGAAACACTAATTCAACATGACGGACAGAGCGAGAAAGCACGTAAAGGGTATTGATCCATTCACAGCAGAAAAGATGAAAACCTCCAAGAGTCTCGATGTGTGTTGTTGAACTTGTTGGAGTCCACGGTTTGCTAGGATTTTCTACGTTTGCTCTGCGAATGTTTGAAGCCATTTAATTCACCGTTAGTGGTTCTTTTCACTTGGAATATGAAAAAGACATTTTTCTTCTTCCGTGCTTCTATTTGTGCATCCGATAATGCAGCAGGAATTTACCATTATCAGGGAGAAATACTCGAGGTTACGCACTGTGTTTGACGCTATCGTGTTTCTTGCCTCCGGCCAAAATATTTCCCAGCAGCAACGCGGGCTTTTAATAACAATGACGTCAGCTGAAACTCGCCTATAAAAGGCTCGTGGCTCATTCTAACATGTTAAACATGCACATATTTGAATTATTCACTGTATTGAGCTCCAGTCTATGGCCTTCGATCAGCCCTCTGCTTTGTCTGTGTTTGGAGATGTGTCCCTTGATGAAAAAAGTTTGGACACCCCTGTTCTAGAGAGTGATAAAGTCACACTCCCAGATGGGGGAAAGATCCAGCTTTTCCTCTTGATTACATTGTATTTTGTCATGAAATATCTAAAAGGTGAATCGACAAATGCTGAATCTTACTCTCTAGACCCAGGAACTCACTGTATTACAACACAAATCTACATTTTAACAATAGTCACCTGTAGCGGCCTCCATCTGTGTTAAATATTACTGGCCTAAAACTAATAGTGTAGTGATGTGACGTCCTCTGAAACCTCCATCAGTTCATATTTCCGTCTTCTCTCAAATACTATAATGCTCCTGGGCGAGTTTACGAGGTGCACTGTGAACTGAATCTTGATTTCTTTGTTAACATAAATCACAAATCCAATATTTTTCCATTCTAGTTCGTGTCTGATGATGTATCGTTGCTATAGACAGCCGCAGCTCTTGACCACCATGTTCCTGTGCTTCTTGAGGATCACGTTGTTGTTGTCGTCGTAGAAGAGGACGGAGATGGGGCTGAGCTTTGTGGGGGCGCAGCACGCTTTAGGGACCTCGTTTGGCTTCAGCAGATGCACCTACAACACAACACAACACATATCATATGATCTAACATGTATCGCTCTTTATTTTTTATATTTAATAACATCCAACTATGCACCCAGTTATGAAATCAACAAAAAACACAGAATTTCTAGGCAAGAAACGTCAAGCTAGAAAAACAAAAAACAAAATTAGTCTTAGGGCCTGTTTACACGAAAACGCTTGCAGGTAAAAACGACAAAATATTTTATCGGAAGTGTCTTTTATTTAGACAGTGACAGCATTTTTGGGGCTTAAAAACGAAAAATCTGAACTGAAACCACGTAGCGTTTCCGTCTACACTGCCCAAGACGCAAAACTCTGGTCAGATCTGCTCAAGTTACGTACGCGTTTACATCACATATATGTCACCTTTTACGCCACCGTATGCATGCAGATTTCCTCCCGAAAACGCTCATCTAAAAGCGAAATAAAAACTGAAGATGCGACGCCACTTTTGTGTCTTCTGTTCAGACTGTCATCATAGAAACGTGGCCTTAATATAGACCTGGGTGTAGCACTTTTCTAAATGCTCAGAGCTGCTTTAAGATAAGATAAGAAAAGATAAGATATGCCTTTATTAGTCCCACCGTGGGGAAATTCCAGTGTTGCAACGCGCAATTCAAGAACAGCAGGAAAAAGGTAACATGCAATAAAACAGAAGTTGAAACGAAGCAGAAACAGCGCGTTTCTGAAGTAAAAAAGTTGGAAAATAGAGGAGCGCAATGCAACCAGCTGCAGTTCTCACCAGCGCCGAAAGTTGAATTTGAAATCTTTACAATTTCTTGCAGACTCGATTAAGTAAGTTATAAAGTTGTAACCACAGCTGCCCTGGGGTCGACTGACTAAAGCGAGGCTGCCAATCCGCGCCACCACGGGGTCAGTCCTAAACTCCCTCAGCCCTCTGTAACCTTATTTCTATAAGATTTTTTCTCTAAATTAAACTCTAAATCAAGTCAATTTTTTATTTTTAAACCGCATTTAAAGGGATGATTCAGAGTCATTTCAGCCTAGGATCATTTACTCCATGACCTCTACATTACATCTGTATTCAACTACTGCTGGAGAAGAGTTGGTCGGGTGTATTTGACGACCAAACTGAGAGAAATGGGGATAAATTCTGATGCAAACTGATGAGGTAAGGAAATTTAAGTTACCATTGTCGGTATGTTTTGTAACTATTGGTGTTGATGTTTTGTCTTGAAAAGGGGAAAGGGGGCAGATAATATAAGATGATTCTTCTTTCTTTTTGCTCCTTTTCATTCATTTCTTGTATGTTTGATGTTGTGACACTGTTGATGTCTTTTTACACTTTATGAATGACATAAATAAACAAATAAATACATAAATGTTACCAAGCTATAACAGTAACTCTTTGTCTGCACTTGTAAATAGTTCATATAGTTTAATAAAAAATGTCTCAAAAATTCTAAAGAAACTCATTGTGTTAGATTTGAAGAGCGGGTGGGATTAAATACGTTTTCTTCTTCCCACTCCTACTCCGGCCACTTTTTAATTTTTTTGTTGCTGTTATTTCTGCTATGGTTTCATTAATGTTATATTATATATAATGTTCAATTGTAAAAGAATGTACATTTCTTACTTGCCCAAAATAAATACATAAAGCAATCAATCAAATCATGATAAAGAAAATTTGGGAACATAGGGCTTAATTTTGGAACAGAGCTTCAGAGATCTGACTTTGACAAGGACGTCTGGCCACGATTAACATAAATGTGACCTGAGATCTTACAGTTTATTATAATCACCACTGAACCTAAGCTGCCAGAGCTTTAGCCTGCAGATCGAGGACACATCTAAGTTTTTTGTTTTTTTTTTTTGGATGTGAAAGCTCAGAGCCTCCAGAATTCACTCACTGAGCTGAGAAATTACAGAGTTTAGGTAGTGACCATTCAGATCAGAGCGACTCCTTTTAGGTTTAAACCAATTGAATGAACATAAAAAGAAGTTTAATGACATAATTGCATTGATTAGTAAATAAATAAGATCCAGCACTGACCACTTGTTGAATGAGAGCGTGGTTTGTGGCGTTCATGCAAGAGCCGAGGGGATAGAAACACTCTCCATCACAGTAATACGCCAAATATCCTGTGGGGGCCAAAACCCAGTCCTGAAAGTACAAATACACAACATTACACATAGAGATATCACTTTATTCCTCTGTCATCAAAGTAAAAACTGTAAACTGAGAGTCTGACCTTCCAGCCCAAGTCACTGAAGCTGACGTAGAGCTCGTGTCTCTGGCAGGGGGCGCCATTGTTCACTGGAGTGAGATCTGAGGAGGAAAAAAAAAAAAGAAAGAAAAGGAAAATGCATTACATAAAACACAGACACACTGATGTCTTTGAGTTTCTAGAATGTGATTATGTCTCAGATGGGAGCAATGTACGGAAATACAAAGCAATGGTCCAAGAGATTACGCAAGAATAAAAAAAACATATATGGAGAGACTATTTCTTCAGCAAAAGGAAAGGAAAGTAATCACAACAACAAGCGAGAGTACTGCTTTTTCAAAATATACTAAAATATTACTCAAGTAGAAGGAAAATAACAGTGTCTGAAAAGTACAATTTGATAAAAAAGTTCTCGTAGGCTAAATTCAAGTGCATATACTAGGGCTGCTCGATTATTTTGGTCAATTTTGAAATCACGTTTATTCAAATGATTATTTTTTTAGTGACATGATGCATTTATTCAGCATTTCTCTCTAAAAAAAAAAAAACAAAACAAAAAGCACTTAGTTATTGATAATTTATGCAAAACTTTCAAACTGAAAATAAATTCTGGCTACAAATATGAACCTTAGAGCAGTTTTGTGATGTATAAAACATAAAATGAATAAAATATACTTTGAACATGAAATAAGGTATAGAAAAACGTAAATGTATCCAAAATAAACTATAAATCCAGCTGTTCTACAATCTCTATGTTTAGATATACTTATTTATATAAAAAATATCCCAAAATAAACTCATATAATCACCTTTTTAAACTCGAGTATATGGGTTTGGAGATTGTTTGACACACAAATTGAAATTGTAATCAAAATTCGATCAATTACACAGCCTTACTATATACTATATACTTTTTCATTAGAATAATTTTGATGATTTCAGTCCTGGGATTGTCGATCAAACTGGAAGAGCTTTAGAGATGTAAACAGTCTTATAATAAAGTTTTACTCAAACATGTGTGAATGAAACAAAACACAACTCCAGGTCTGTTTCTGGGAGATGACAATATTATAACATGACTTAAAACTCAAAATTTTGTCTAATACAGGACCTTTAACTGTGTTTTAGTTGTTTAAAATGTGCAGTGTGTGTGAGTTACACTGTGGTACTGACTGTGGATACTGGGCATGGGCAGGTCGGGTTTGGGTTTCCTGCGTCTCTGGTTGGGTCTGACGGCGCGGGGAGGACGGCAGGGCACCTGGCTTTCCCTGAAGAAGGTCACCATGAACGGCTGCTTGGACCTGGGACCCCTGCGCCCCACCAGCCCGATCCAGCCCGCGGACAGAGAGCGATCTGAGGAAGAGGAGGAGGAGAGGGACTGTCAACAGTGGTGATATTACATAACAGGTTTGAAAAGGACTAAATACTAAAATACCGTAATTCAAAATGACCAGATGGGCCACTTCACTGTTTTATTATTGTTTTCCTCTCTAAAAACAAATGATTAGTGAAAAATATATACAGTAAAGCTGAAATATTTTACATAGCTACATGCATGTGTAAAAACATGGAACTTTTAAAACTACTTTTAAAACTATTCATAGTATTAGAAGTAGCAGTGGGAGCAGCATTGGGAGCAAAAACAATGAAAGATATTAGCTGAAGAGTGACCCATTGAAACTAAAATAATGGATAGATATAATGGAGGAAATTTATGTGATGGAAAAAAATAATGTTTGTAAAATCTATGGTAGACATGTCAAACTCAGGCCTGGGGCCCAAATTTGGTCCACAATATAATTATATTTGACCCGCGAGATCATATCAAATATGTTTTAGAGCTGGCCAGCCCGCTACAGAGAGGCTATAGAAATATTATTTAAAATGTTATTATTTTGTATTATGCTTGTTCTGGATTCAGTGTTTAAGCGAAACTATTTAGTTTAATAAGAAAAGGTTTAACATTACATATCTTGAAAGAAGAGAAAACATGCAGATGTTGTTGAAATTTTTCAATAAATATTTAGTTTGGCCCACGACTTAGTTACAGTTTTTAATTTTGGCCCTGTGTAAATTTCAGTTTAATACCCCTGGTCTATGGCAAAGGAGAAATTCAATTTGTCAACTGGACAAAGCTTTCGACCTAAATAAACATTTGTCCAGTCCTTTACCATGGAAAAAAGAATGTATTATTTGAGATTGAAAGGTGGTAAATTTGAGAAGCAATGGCCTACTTACTGTACATAGCTCACTCCAATTTTTTATTTTATTTATTTATTTATTTTTTTGTAAAGCCCCACAGATTACGATTTTTTTATGTATCCTGGTTAAACCTTGAAATAAAAAGTTACAAATAAATAAATAAAAAAAATATAAAGAGGATACTGGAGGACACAGGACAAACACTGAGTGGATGGATCCAGGTGGTTCAGGTTTCATAGGCCAGTCTGAAGAGGTGGGTTTGAAAATGTGTTTTGAAAGAACAGAGGGAGTCTGTGTCACAGATGGACGATGGGAGGAGCTCCAGATTTGGGGGCCCCCGTAGAGGACAGGTGGGCTGGAGGGACAAACAAGAGGTTGGAAGAAAATGATTCTAGGGAGAGTGAGGGAGCGTGAGGGCGGAGGAGGAGGTGCAAGATTGTGAAGGGCTTTGTATGTAAGAAAAAGGATGATAAAGCTGAAGTCAGTGGAGATGACAGGGGATGTGGTCAGAAATGGGGGAGTTCTGGACCATCACTAGTTTATGAAGGGTTTTCTGAGGTAAACCAAACAGGAGAGAGTTACAGGAAACTAAGTGAGAAATGACTAGATCATGGATGAGTAACTGGAAAAGATGAGACTAAGCAGATGAGGAGGAGATGAGAGTTTGTAGTCATTTGCTCTTAATGTTTAAAATGGGTCTTCAGGGTTCCCACGGTCATAAATCCTGGAAAAGTCATGGAAATTTTGTAAATTCAATGAAAGTTTTGGAAAAGTCATGGAATTTTAGTATCTCTTTCACGCAACTGCAGTGTTCTGTTAAGTTCTCATTAGGTTATTATGATTATTTCCGAACGTCTGCACCTTTTGTTTAAAAGAGACGACAATAAATGCACTGACAGGATTTTGAATGTTAAAAAAACTATAAAACCAAACCATAAGATGAGTGGAAAGAGTTAACGTTTCATATTTAGCCCTAAAAGTCTGATCATTTCTACACATGTAGGTGCCGTAAAGTCATGGAAAATTCACTTTAGGTCATAAAAAAGTTATGGAAAAGTTTTGAAATTTTGAAAGTGAAAAATAGTAGGATAGATATAATGGAGGAAATTTATGTGATGGAAAAAATTATGTGTGTAGAATCCCTCAGTCGTCCAGGTAGAATCCATGGTAAAGGAGAAATTCAATTTGTCATTTTCGACTTACACAAACGTTTGTCCAGTTGACAAATTGAGTTTCTCCTTTGCCATGGAAAAAATAACTTATTATTTGAGATTGGAAGTTGGTAAATTCAGCAAGCGATTGTCAAAATTGTCTACTTCTATCGCTCACTCCAATGTGTGTGTGTGTTTTTCTTTTCTTTTTTTTTTTGGTGAAAGTGAAAAGTGAAAAATAGTAGGAACCCTGTGTATTGTACTTGAGGTAGTATTTGTTGTATGAAGTTGGTAACTAAATAAACCTGTAAAGTGTTAATGTGTCTTTAATACTGCACATACCCTCCTCTGTCTCGACGTAGAGCCGGATGCCCAGGTTGCTCCGCGGGCGCAGGAGCCAGTGGTTTGCAGCTGAAGTGACGTCGAAGGCCAACCAGCCCTCCTGCCCCGCGGGGGTCGACTGCATGTCCAACAGGACCAGCTCCGGCTCTCTGGAAACAAACAACACTGTCAATCAAAGTGGTCTGTGTGGTACAGAGGAGTGAATATGGGTTGACTTTGTACATTTTTATCTTAAATTGAACACATTTAATTTAACATTCTTAGGATTTTTACCAATTAAAACTTCCAAGGATAAAAGTTAAAGGGACAGTTCAGAATTTTGGACATAGGACCTCATTTCCTAGTGAGCCAGATTGTTTGAGACACTTTTTTACATATTCCATCCAGTCCTTGTATTTGCAGAGGTCACTGGTGCTAGGCTAGTGCATGTCAATGGCCATAGTTATCCTGCCACTAAAAACAGTCTTACCCACTCCACAAAACACCCGAAGTAAATCTGTTATTACACCAGACTGTCGATGTGAATGTCTGTGTTGATAGAATAATTTTAGAAGTAAAACCAACCTTGCATTTGAAGGATTTATGTCTGAGCAGCAGCAGTGAGTTGTACTTCCTGATAGAAAGCTCAGCAGCGGTGGACTGATTTATGAGAAAATAGTCCCTCAACATGCGTCTGTTCATGCGATGCAAGGTTAGTTTTATTTCAAACATTATTTCATCAACACAAACATTCACATCGACAGTCGGGTGTAATAATAGATTTGCTTCGAGTGTTTTGTTTTGTCTCCAACACTCTGGCTCACTAGGAAATGAGGTCCTATGTCCAAAATTCCGAACTGTCCCTTTAAGGACTATTGGATTGTGATTTGAGCAGTTTGTCTTTTCTGTATCTCTACAAGCCAGTCCTAGTTAAGTCCTGCTCTAGTCCTGGTTCCGACCTGGTTTATTCCTGGCCATGATAACCGAGCTCTGAAATAGTACAGACTAATAGACAAATATGACAGATGGTGGCCAGGTTCGGGAGTAGTGGGCTCCTCACTCCCGAACCTGGCCACCCTCTACTCTTCACGTCTCTACACATGGGCCTCCAACATTTTGCAGGACCCCACACACCCTGGGAACTGCCTCTTCCACCCCTCAGGAAGGCTTCAAACTCCCCTTACACGCACAAACAGGCTGAGCAACAGCTTCTACCCACGAGCAGTGGACGTGCTCCAGCGCCACAGGCACAGATAAAAGGCCTGAAGGGACTCAGTGCAATAATCTATTTATTTTATTTATGAAATGATTTTTTTATTGGTATGGATGTGAGGATGTGTCTATATTTGTTCATTTTTACTGCTACAGATCTGCTCTATCGAAGGTTCATTGTATTTCTTACAATGACAATAAATAAATCTAAATCTAAAACGTTCCAGAGAGAATGGCCAGTCTCATCAGTGGTGGAAACAACAGAAGAGTGAGAGTGTTCAGGACAGAGAGGGGGGACACTTTTGTTCTGAGGGCTGTTACTCTCCTCAAACTGTCCTGACACTGGATCTGATCAGGTTCTCTGTGACTTTTGTTTGTGCTTTCTGTCATTGTTGTATTTTCTAGCTCAGTGTGCTTAAATCGCCTCTCGAGGACAAATACAATGATACAGACTGATAAATTTCCCACATAAACCAAACTCACGTCGTAGGTGATACAGACCTGATCCTGTTGTCTCTCTGTATCTCGTACACTGAGATGTGCAGAGTGCGGTTGGCTCTTTGTCCCAGGGTCTGACTCTTGTAGATCCTAAACTCGGCTGCAGCCACAGTCTCTCCCTGAGGCAGAGGAGTCAGGTCAAAACGAAACTCTTTCCAGTAGGGACGGGGCTGCAGCAGGTCACGCTCCTGCTCCACTGAGACACAAACAGAGGAACTCGATTTAAGATTCATAAATATTACCTGCACCCCCAGATACAACGTAAACATGTTCAAATCAAATACAACTTTTACTGGTAACGATGCAGATGTAATGCAGATTTATTCTTAATTATAAAAAGACTTGACTGTGTGTGTTTTAATGTAATGTAGTAAAATTTGGTGTTTCTGGTTCTTAAGGTGATCAGAAAGACGAAAAAAGCTTCACATGAGTCTTTCATTTGTGTTGCCAGTTTCAATGCAGAAATCCAGTTGGTTTAAAACGAAAATGTCTCTCTCTAATCTGAATGGTCACTACAAAAACCCCAGCACTTTCAGCCAACCATGAATCAGTGCTAGTACAGCCTCTGCAGCTCAGGGAGGGAATTCTGGAGGTTCTGCTCTTTCACATGAGGCCTGTCCATAAACTGAGAATGAGAAAACTTGTATGTGTCCTCTGTCTTTAGTCACTGACAATCCAGGTTCATTTTTAAGTGCAGTAAACTGTAGCTCACATACAGCTCCTTTTAATGTAACAATTATTTTTTCCATGGGGCCACATGAGAAACAAAAAATATTGTGAAGGGCCAAAATGCTTAACTCCATTCTGCATAATATTAATTGTATTTCTTTAAAAAGCAGTAAATATCATTGTTTTGACGAGCTGTAAGACTGGTCAGAGTTTATGTTATGACTAAACAATAAAAAAATGAGGTTGCCTTACAAAAAATGTAATTAAACAACGTAGCTGTAGTCCGTGCATGAGGTAAAATGATAAAATATGTTTATTTTATAATTCCAAATGAGCTTAAACGGGGCTGTCAGAGTCAAACAAAGAGCTGTATGTGACCTGGGAGCTGCACAACGCCCACGTCTATTCCAATGATTTTGTTGTCAGTTAAAATAGGTTTGGAAAGCACATAAATGAGCAAGTAATGAAGAGACTGTGATGTACATTATATCACTCAAATGTAGGACTATTTAACAACTTTCATAACCACAACTCACTACTACACACTCTAGATCACTACAATTACCAACACTGTTACTGTTACTGTTACGATTCTCACCAAAACAACAGCAACTTCTTAAAAACAACTCCTTTTACAATTCGTTCAACCAGGATCAAACTGAATTTGATCAATTCATATGAGAAATCGACTATTTAAAGATACACTAGTAACTTTTCTGATCCGTCACACGCTTGTCTAGTGATAGAGATTAGGGCTGGGCATCATTAAGAAGTTGTCAATATGATACATACCTCGATACATAGGCCACGATACGATACATACCTCGATACAGTGCACTTTCGATTCAGTAATATATATTTCAAATTGATTCGATACGGTTCAATAAAAAATAAAGGCTAAATCATGGCTGTGACACTAAAAGTCTTTGTTAAACCACTTCTTGTGCAAAGTTAATATAAAACACAAACATTTTAATCATGAAAACAGTGAAAATGTCAAATATGTCACATAAATTAGTTTCCTTCCTCTAAACAAGCAACAAAACTGTAACTGTAACAAAATAATTTAGTAAAATATACAAAAAAAACCCCAACTCTTTAGCGATATATCGATACAGCAGGCCACAATATTGATACTGTATTGTCACATTAAACAACACAATATACAAACATCCCTTGCTATATCACGGTTTACCTTTCACGGCCTCGCTGTTTCGCGGATTTTTTTGTGTGCAATTTTACATGCTTTTTTTTTCAGTCTCATTTTCCTCTGTGCCGCGTCTCCTGCACAGTACAGAATGTGTTCAGTTTGCCAAATTTACATAGAAGTTCGATCTCTGGCAGTGTGATTTTGAAGTGCTGTACATTTACAAGTTCGACAAAACCCACAACGTCGACAAAACGTTCTGCACCGACAAAGGCTCCTGCGGTCGCACCCAAAAGGCAGAGGAAGATACAAACCATAGCACAAAAAGATGTACTTCTGGACACGCTGAAGGAAGGTACAAGTTACACGATTGTAAGTGCCATTACGGAAAGAATTAATGTTCGGTTTGTTACATAAAGAAGGAAAATAACATAAAGACGACAGCAGCAATAAGTTTTAAGAAGGATGCAAAAATGGTTGGAACTGTCCTGTCTGAGAAAAGTGAACAAAGTGTGTGGTGACGAGTTTTACAGCCTTAAAACATTTATAATAATTGTAAAAAATTAAGTTGACTACTTCGCGGATTTCGCCTATCGCGGGTTATGTTTGGAACTTTACCCCCGAGACAAACAATGTACCACTGTATCGATATTTTGGTATTTTTGCATACCCCTAATAGACATGTTATTGCCTGGAATGTCCCACAGTATGGCATTACTCTTATCTTATATCCATGGAGACGGAAGAAGGAAGTGAGTAGGTGAAGACAAATAAAATCAGGTAAAAGTAAAATCAGTGGCGAGGAGTCATCAAAGCAAAGCAGTGACATCAACATGGACAAGCGGGGATCAGACTTCTACCTAAAAAGTTACACAGTGCGCCTTTAAATGTAATTAAACTTCACCTGACGACTGACATGTCCGTAAACAGCATTCTTACGAGACGCGACAGTTCACAACGCCGCCTCTAGATGTCGCCAACTCCTCCGTTACGCTCACAAACGCTCCGCCGATCACAAACCTATAATTAATATCCATGGTTACAACCCACACATCAATGACTCTTGGGGTTTCCTGTCCTTGTAAAACCCCACTTGCCCCACTGGATTCTGGGTAAAGTGAAGTGTTCGCAGTGGGCACGGAGATGGGCGGGGTCAGACCAGGCACACGAGGGCTACATAATTAGAGAGAGAGTCCCGGACAGCAGGCCCTCGGCAGCTGCAGGGCCCTCACCGCAAATCACAGGGTACCAGCCGTATTTTTAGACTCACTATTTTGATCGTGATTCTGGACCAGAGTTTTCAGCGAGTGTCGTGAAGCCTGTAATTCTGACCAGCTGTGTCGTCGCGGTTACGCAGAGCACATGTGGAGGAACTGCACGCCCAACTACCAGATTTAATTTAATTTCTTTTGTATTTAAAAATATTACTTTCATTTTTTTTTGTTTTTGTCTTTTTTTTGTTTTGGCTCGTGTCCATGGAGATTTCCAAGAATGTTAGACTTACAGTAGACTTTGACAAATTTTATTCATCCACGAGAGAAGTCAATTTTACACAGTGTGGCATTAAACTTAAGTCTCTCAGTAAAGGCCTAGTTACGAGTGAGATCTGTGGAGAGGCGAGACGACCCTGCTCACATAATCGTGACATTTTAGAGCAGTAATCTGTCTTTTCTGATATAAATGCGTAATGAGTTTAATGCTAATGAGTTTAATGGCGCGCTGTGGAACATTCTGGTCTGTGCACGATTCTTTTTTTTAATTTATTTTTTTATTAAGAACGAAAAACAATAAAATGGGAAAACAGTTTGTTATTTCATTATTCTGTTTTAGTGTCAAACAAACAAACAAACAAACAAAAAAAAAACTGATTTCGACCTCTATTTCCTCTGTGCCTATTTTAATTTTGGTATTTTATTCTTTCTGGTTTATTTGCCTCGGAAGTTATGAATTCAGTGTGAACCATGGATCTATAATAAAAAAATATTTGTATTATAGTTCTCTGGTGTCAACTGAACAAAGGAGAGTTTATCGCTGCTTCCCGTTTCTCGTCGTGGAGTTTAACAATGACTTTCTAAGACTCGAAAGTAAAGGCGTTGCTATGTTTGTCCACAAAATTGCAACGATTTTTCAGGTATGTCCTTTCTAGCAGCAGAACTTCTAGCAGAGAATAAAATATCCAAATTGAAATGTGCAGAGAGACAGTTTTTTGATTGGTGTTTCTTGAAATAAACTTTAAATTAAATATTGGAAATAGACATCGAAATTAGTTTTTTTGGTTGACACTAAAACGGAAAAATGAAATAAAGCGTTTTCCCATTTTATTGTTTTTCGTTCTTAATTGAAATACAAAAGAACGAACGGTGCACAGACCCATTCTAAGCAAAGCAAAACGTCTCCACCAGAAAAGCTCCATCGTAAAGACAGTATTTGACATTGTATTTGACTTTTTACAATCCTAAATGTGAAGAAAATTAAGATGAAAACAAGTGATTACAAAACTTCTCAAAGCATTTATAAGCAGCGATTCATTTGGGTCAGTGGGTCGATTCCCGATCCCATAAACAGACTGTTGTTGTGTCCCTGAGCAAGACACCTAGCCATGCCTTTTGCTGTCAGAATACACTAGTACTGAAATAAACCCAGAACCAAACCCTGCTAAAATAATTTCTAAAAGTCTAATAATTCATTTAGGGGGTATTAACTGCCAGTCAGAATGTCCCTTTGCTCTCTGCACTAAGTCACTCCCCCTTCAGAGCACGATCACAACACAATGACTAATGAAACTACTGCACATCACATCAGGTTTGTCAAGTTGTTGTGTACAGTTTTGTATCTTGTTTTTGTATATTTATGGAGAATTGTTGTGTGGGAGCAAAAAGTGGAGTGTTAAAAGTGACTCTCACAGAATCAATTTTAAAATTTTCTCAGGGTTTATGTGAGTAGTACTAGTAGTAGACTAGATAGTAAATGGTCTATAGCACTTTTCCACCTTCAAGGCACTCAAAGCGCTTTACAACAAGGAACCACTCACCCATTCACACACCAGTGTACGCAGACACTGTGGGCAAGGTGGGTTAAGTGTCTTGCCCAAGGACACAATGACAGCATTCATCTGTGGGAGCTGGAATCACACCAGCCAACCTGTGGGTCAGTGGATCTGACCGCTCAACCTGTGATGTTTATGTCAAGAACTGGTTTCAAACTACCAACCTTCAGATCAAATGCTCTACCAACTGAGCTACTGCCGCCCTAGAGTTAATTTAACATTTTTGGAAATGTTAATTAAGTAACACTGGACTAAAGTTCATGTTTAACCCCAAAATCAAGAGTTACATTCACATTTTGAGAGTAAAAGGATAACACTTTGTAGGGTTATCCTG